GAATATTCGCAAATGTGCGAATCGATCTTCATTGCCGTTCGCGCCCCCTGAAGAGCGGCATCGAGAAAGGTTCCCCCTGCCCTTGACTTCATCCAGGGGTTACATGCCGGTTTCAGTATTTGGTGAATTTTTGTTCCAAATCCATGAAGGATATGGGGAGTGGTCAGGCTCAGACCTCCGCTGACGCTCAGATCAGACAGCTCTACTGAACACGCGTAGGAGGGCAGGAACAGAAACCCATCGAGTCGACGGTACGCATGAGAACGGAGGGACTGACGAAAATCATGGATCAATCTCTGACACGAGGTCGGCGTCGAATCCAGACATCGGGGCGACAGAAATGGTGATGAATCTTCAGCGATAATGGCCGAATGATGATTTGCAAAGTGGATGGATCTCCTCTATTGGCGAGGCTTATGTCCCATCGAGTGAAGTAAGTGCTGACCTGTTCGACGATGATGATGATTGCGACCGAATTAGCTTGGGATCGCACAATATCATCGAGCAATGATTAATGGCGTCGATTCCGGTATTCCACCCATTTTGTCCCGGTGACCCTATTGAGAGAATCTTCTAGTCGACGACAACTGTGAGACAATGGCCGTTCCGGGTGCGGTCAGTTTGACGAGTCGAATGATGCGCTCGCGATGTACTTGCAAATCACCAAAGCCTTGACCGGCCAGCCTCCAAATACAAGATATCTGAATTCTCAAGAAGTCGAGGGATTGGCTTGATATCGACGATACCGGACCGTTCGGCACGCTTACGTCGGGAAGCATTCGCGCCGAAGAGACCTTCTCCTCGTGATCATCTCGTGATCTTCACACTTAACCGGAATACGTTCGCGAGGACCGCCATATACGACAAGAGTCGACGCGTACGGAAAGAGCACGCATTTCTGTCCGCACGGTGACACTAGCAGGTGACAGCGGATTTATCTACAACGAGGTTATCGAAGTAAAGGCTGCCGAGCGTTTCACCGACGCTGTCTGAAACTCCCCCATTTTCACCTGCTCGAGCGAAAAACAAAAACACCGCCACGAACGACAGCGAAGCTGGCTCTGAAAAACAACAGCGACAACAGCGTCGTTTGATTTCTTTCCGTTTTCGTTGTATGACGGATCATTCAGAAGCGCCTCTGCTCAACCCACGAGTTGGGGGGCGCTCCGAAAAAGCTTCTCACGCTGTTTCGAGTTTCACTCCTGCTAATTTTGTGCATGACTCGCTTTCGTTTTCGGTGCCTATATCTTAAGCCACGTCTTCCTGTTCAATGCCCGATCGGAGATGAGACGATCGGCGGCGAATCACAACAGATGTGATCTAGGTGTTTGAGTCTCATTTCCAAAACATTGGGAAGCCTCGACGCTCGCGTGGACCTACCGTAATTTCAACGCGATTCGCCAAGGCTTCTCATGGTCCGTACGCCGCCGGACGAGATACCGGCCGGCGGGGAACCGCGGCATCCACCGTTCGAGAATGGTGCTTTTTGTCGGAAGTTTATTTTTTTCGCTTTTTGTGCTTCGTTATATCACGGTGCCTGGTCGTGATTTTTCAAACAAGCCTCTCCCTCGACAGTGAAATGAAGATGATCGAAGAATGCGAATCGGGGAAGCAGCCGGCTGACCGACAAGCTAACCAGCAAAGTAAGCGGTGCCTGACCCCGAACTGATGAGTTCCGACGGGTTGTCGATGGTTTTGAAGGATGACGTCCAAAGGTTACGCGAGAAGCCGTGAAGGTGTCACAGTCAACGCCGCACCGCCGGCGCCGTTCACGTGGAAGCCGTTACTGTTGCTCGGGCTGTGAACGTTGTCGTTCTTTTTTATAGAGAGAGGCCATCGATTATTGTTCACAAAACACTTCTCCAACTCATCAAAGCATTCACTGTCACTTCTGTAAACAGACGGAACGGTCAATTCACGCCGCGGAACCAAGGCTTCCGTGCTAACGAATGATCAATGGAGAAAAATCAAGCGGAGTCAGCGCACCTGATCGACGGGAAAAAACGCACGGTGGGGTCTATCATCGAAAAAAAAGTTTCCGAGCGGTAATCGATATAAACCGAGGCATACCGCATGGTTCGGATCCATCGAAGCCAGCGACGCCGACGCCTTCGATGAAACTCATCCATATACGTTTTTTTATAGTACGATAAGTTATCGACAAACTCAAGAGGAGTCGATGGGTCCGGAAAACTGCTTCATGATCACGGGGGAACAATTCAATCATATTCGCTACCGTCATGGATTCGCGAAACAATGGGACCAACAATGAAACTTGTTCCGTCAAAAAACTGCCTCGAGAACCGCACGAAAAGCTCGACGACGGAAGCCCGAGCGAGCGGAAGGTCCATTAATCTCCGCATCGGAAAGCGGCAGTTCAATCTTGACGAAGACTGGATGGCGAATTTCGATAATTCCGTTCTTTTCAATTAATTCATGATGGTCGGAGAGGCTCGCTCAAATGTCCAGACGTCCGAATGTGAATATCATCGAGTTCCGATTCCGATAAATCGAGATAAGTAATTTTCACGCAGACAAGGGGCGCTCGTGTCTCTTGTCATCCCATTCTCCACCGTACCGCAGCCGATGTCAGGCCAAGGCGCTCCACCGTGCGGACGGTCGAAGAATTCTCACGGAGCCAACGAAGCTTGGTTGCCGATACGGCTCCGGACGGCGGAAACAAATTACCTACTGCGGAAGAATCGGAACGTAACTCGAACAAAGCACTGCCGATCGCCAGACACGCGGATCAGCCGGTCGCAGTGCTGAGTAGCCCGCAATCAGAACTAGGTAACGGTATCTCGCGGCCGCTCACGAAGGAATCAATTGTGACACCTGCGTCTCGACTCGAGGGAAACTCATTCGACCCAAAAGATGGGCTGAACCGCTGTCTCCCATCTTCGAGAGACAGGAGGAGCTCCTCCAGCTAGCCAGAGCCGGCGTATAACAGGACTACCATGCGAACTATTCGGAGAGATACATGAACGTTAGGAGACGAGTTCTCTATAGCTCTGAGTACGCCCCAAACGGATGCTCGTGGGAACTTTACACCTCGGTGTCGAAGTGATAGGAGTGCGGTTTCAGACCAGACGTCACAATCAATCCAATCTTGGATCCGGTACGGTTGAGACGGCGCCGGCGTTTCGACGCTCGAAGAACGCAGTTCTCACGTCGTCAAGACTCGGCAGCAAGAATTGTTTCGTTCCTCGATCTACCTCTGTCAGAAAAAAATGCTGGGCCGCCTTAAATGAGGTAGAGAATAAATGGAAGATATCCGGATCCGAACTTCCGATGATTCGACGTAGAGCTCATGTGCCTCCTCTTTCTGATTGTTCGCTCGAGCTTCGGTGCGCAACGGGGTTCCCAATGGAAGATTCGATGGCGAATGAAGTATCCAGCCGTTGACATATCGGCCGAGAGCATTCTCGCGAAGAGATGTGAGTCACGATTCCGGGGAATTTCACTCCTCATGGAACTCTCTCCAGGTAGAGTCGCGGGCCCCGCAAGCCCAGATATTTCCCACTTCATTTTGAGTTATTCTAGGCTCACCGGATACACATTTCCAGAGATCCCCTCGGACGTCGAGCCTATTTTCCTCTGGATCAGGTGGACGAAAAGGGTTCGCTGAACCAGTCGCCGAAAACACAATCGGAGAGTCGCCTTCCATGGTTGTAGAAGTCCAAGCAGATATCTTCTGGTCTTCTTTCGGCCTTCGCCATTACGTGGGCCGCGGTGGAAGAAGTCCAACTTCTTCTCTTGCCGTGCTTTCTCGTATTTGGTGCGCGGTTGTGCTGAGCTGCGCCTCGGACGGTGGCGGTGAAAACGACGGCGTCTGAGCCGCTAAGGCTGCATCACACAAAAGGTCCCGCAGCATGTGGTTTTCGTGGTTATCAGGAGTTTTCGTCTGTTGTGTGTGAGGATGTCCTGTGAACATCGGTGAATCTCCACGAGTCGCTCGTTCGGATGTAGCACGAGGGAAAATGCAAGCCTTCACCGCCCTCAAATTGGCTACCAGAGACACCAAGGAAGGGTTCAGAGTTGGAAAATCAACTTTCTACGCGTTCACGCCTGAGTCGCAGACTCGGAGCACAGATTCGGTACCACGAGAAAGCGATCCATCTGCAGGCGATTCCATGCGAAAGAATCGATTCCGGCAAGTTTCTATCAGCTCTCAATCTTGTTGCGCTCTGCGATCGGTGTGATGAGGATTTTCGAAAGAAGTGGGGTAGTGTGGCCACTTTCGAAGGGTCTCGTCCGAGGAGCGGCGACGTTTTCGAAACGACTGAGATCTACACCCTGATACCGTCGAGTGAATCCCGAGTCTCGAATTCCGCCGCGAGACTCGAATGCCTCAGAAGCATGGAAATGAACGTTCGATGGCTCCATGGGGCATCGGCGTCCCGGAGAAGAAATTTCCGAATTTTTGGACATTTCAATGCCGAGGTCTGGGAAGGGAATATGATCATGTTCGAGAGGCAAACTCGACGAATGCCGGCCGCCATTGTTCACCATGACTCATAACTACTAGACGATCCGGATACCGGGAGAGTTGAGCGTTTGTTCTCGGCGTTCATTGACCGTCAGGAAGTTTCTCAGTGATTTCTTAGGGGAAAGAACCTTACGATTAATCGAGCAGACGTTCGATTTAACCTGTGCAGGGACCTCGAGGCCGTAATCGGCGTTATGACAGTGTGATTATTGGATTTGCTGCCGGCGAGCGGCGCGGCGGTGCATGGGTATGGCGCGTTGGCTCGTAGCGAGCCCATGACCCGGTGACTGCCTTGCTTATTTGCCCGATGTTGAAACATCTCTCGCATCTCTGTCTTTCTCGTTATGAATTATTTCGCTGTCTGAGAGAACTGCATCTGACGATGTCGATGACAAGAGGGAGCAGATCGAAAACGAGGAGAAAATGCCTTTCGGATCTTGTTGCGAACTTTTTGATAGCGTAATCTGAATTTTTGCCCCTGCATTGTAGTAAGGTTCCGTTCCCCTTGCAGGCAACTAGCGAAAGCTGTGAGCGAATGTAAAACTCAAGCAGCCAACGCCAAACAGTGAGTATTGCAGCATCGATGGAGAATTACACTCACGCGACAGAAATATGCCGATAGTGTTCTCTTGCCGTGGATTTCTTACTCTTCTCGATCACTATCATGTGGACTCATAAGGCTCGTTCAGTGTTCTGCCATCCCGTAAAACGTGTCTGACATCGCGGGTATTCACATCAGGGTGTTCGATTTCAGATTGGTCGGTGACTTAAAGTCGAGAAGATTGTCCAGCGGCCACGACCTCCGTAAGTGTCAATTCCTTTCGACTATAATCCTGCCTTCTCCATCATGTTTCTTCCTCCTATAAGCACTAGTGCGGCTATCGTCATCGTTAATTCGTCGCCCTAGAAGCCACTGTCGCTGCTCTGTCAATGCTACCCTGACGCTTCAGGGGAAGCCACCTGGGAACGAGGCAAGGCACAATCCGGTTGAAATGCAGCGTATTCGCTGCGGTCGGTCAACTGACATTAGAAGCACTTGCGGTGACGGCGTCGCGTCGTTTTTTCCGCGACACTAGGCGCCTTTTGCTACCTCGTCCTTGAACCACTCTCGCCCATTCAGCCTTGCGAACTGATCACAGCCCTCATCGCATAGTCTTTGGCCATTGAAATCCTACATCGATGACAGAATCCGAACACGAGATATAATCGGCGTATTCAATGGTACTCGAGAGTGAGAGCTGAGCCAAGAGCAAATAAAATCCCAAAGGGACATTTCTTTGAGACTCGTCTGTCGCGACGATTACATTACACAGAAATGGAAATTCCTCAGGCTATGCCTCCGAACAGGTTACCTCCTTCCTGACGATCGCGAATAATCACTCTCTTGACTGAATCCCGCTGGTCGTTTCCAGGGAATCATGCCGGTACGGGTTACGACTTCGAAGACGACTTCTCGGACATCGACGATGACACCGACTTCGAGTCAGAAGATGATGAAGAAGATATCTCGGTTCCTGTCGGAGTGATGCCCTCAGGTATGACGCACCGTGGATCGCGTGCTGCCTCTCTGACCATAGAATGAACGGACGTACGGCCGCTTGGACGAACGGAAAGACAAGCGGGCAATCGGCCAACGTTTGCCTCCAGAGTAATTTAAAAGTCCGCCCAAATTACGAGGAGAGTGGAACGGGTTCGGAGATCTATCATCCGAAGGATTGACCTGCAAGGGAAAAATCGGAGTGAATTCCGGAAGAAAACAGTGCTCCCGTTCCAATTCAAGCACGGAAGTTCTTCAATCTCAATCCCATTCCCGTCTGTCTTAGGATCGTATCGACCATAGCTAGTTGACCGAAAAAATCCAGTTGAAGTTTGGCGGCAGGAGAGACTCGTTTATGCAACTAGGTCGTTACGGATTTTTTTTGTTCTTGCGAGCGGTCAGCGTGCGCCGTGTGCGGAGTGGCTCAGTTGTTCGTTACGTGGGCGGCCTCAATACAGCGGGACCTCATCCAAAAACCGTACGGCGGCGACGCGCCGTCTTGGGCATGACTTGGTCGCATGCGTTTTTCTCGATTTTCTCGTGAATTCAATTCTGAAACACGTTATAGTCCACATGTGGGAGGCAACAAGGTCAGCTGGACTGCAATCTATTCAAAAAAGTATTCGAACTGGGCCCGTCGTTAAGACCCTGTGGCCATCGAACATAGGCGCCAGAATTCTCAACTTGGCGACAATTCATTTTTGAACTTGTCCCCTCGAACTCAAGAAGGGGAATCGACGAAAGCGAAAGTTTGCGATGAAGAACAAAGCCGAGACGGGCCTTTGTGACTTCAATGACGCCGCACAATGCTTTCGGGGCGACCCGAAAACTGTTTCGTTGGTATCGCGCCACCGTTCCTGGGGCAGTCCTGAGTCTCATCTCGTCTAGTGCTACAAATAGAAGTTCAAAGGAGCAAAGAGAAAAAATCCAGTGCCGTCGGTTTCTGTCTGATCTTCGTTCGTCTTCCGTCACATACGCAGCTACGTAATTTTCTTCGTTGGTCAACTTTTGGCGCCAAATCATTGTTCCTTGACGATGGTCGCCTCTAGACATTTAACGACTCGTTCACTAAGAATTGTTTAACGGATGGCAATAACTCAGGGGAAACTGGCGACGAAAACTTCGTAAATCATTCCCTGAGCTGAATAAACTGCCGATCTAGTCACTATCTCGGTGGTCTTGATGAGTGACTTTCATTCTCTTGGTCTCATTCGGGTAACTGTATCAGTTCCCTTCAGGGATGCTTTCGATATACGTATCGGAACTTTCCGAACACAGTCAGTCCTCGATTTAGTATGAGCCACTTTCGGTAAGAATTTCGATTCAGTAAATAAGTCCCTGGGTCCCATTGTCGATGAGAGCGTAGTGTTGAAGACTCTCGATTCAATGAAAACCTTCCGAGTTCCCTGGCCCATCGACGATCGTGGGACTCTAGGACTCGATCACGTATTTTTTACCGCCTAATGGAGCGTCTATCCCTCTCGATTCCTTGATCGCATTCGCGAAAGGGAAACCAGACGATATGCTCTTGTGTGACCATGGCGATGGGAGTAGTGGAACGAACCTCTTGGTACTCACGAGGAGTGACATCTAGAGGCTGCTGTTCATCGACTCTCACAAACCTTCGGAAGTGACTCGTACAGTTTTCCGGCGCTTCAAGAAATGAGAATATTCCGAACTTGAACTTACGGTTTCAGACAAAGGCTCGGCTTCGCCAGACTATGACTGCCGACATTCACCGAGTGATCCAAAAGATGACGTCAGCTCCCTCGGCTCCGACGCGTCGTCTTACGCCTCCGGTGAGTCTCGAATCGGACGAAAGAATGAATTTCAGTTGTCCCTCGGATGTGCTCTTGTGAATTATTTACTGCAGTGAAAATACCAGAGACATCATGAGAGGCGTCAGAGAAATATCGCACGGTCTTGAGCGAGTCGCGAGATATACAGCAGAAAATTATGACAGGCATGAAAATTTCGATGCTATGCTCATCAACAAGCGGAGACCTCGCGACTCAATTCCACTAAGTGCTACTAGAGAATGCAATCGGGACAACCAAGGGAGGGGCAAGTTGTGAACGATTAGGAGATATCCACGCAATGAATATTGCAACAACATTCAGGGTCTTACGCGACACGCGCTTCCCCTCAGCGACTTAGTATGATGCATCGAATCGAATGTTAGCAGATGCGTGAGTGAGGGCAAGCTCCCTAAAGCCTAAAGTACTAAAGCCACGAGCGCCCACGATGAAAGCGACGTTTGAGGCTTGGGAGACAATATATATTCAAGTTTCTCCAGCACGGGGCTGTCGAACACTTATCATCGATCTCTCGGTATTGTGAAGGAGCTTGGGTCTCATGATGATCTGCCAACTTGCAGCTTCTTCGAACGGTCTCTTAGCCAGTGGAGGGGTCGTGAAAAGGTTCCCGTTACCACGACCAGCGATTCCTACGAAACCCGCTGCTTTGTGAGTTATTTGGTTATTCTAAGGAGGCGGATAGTCCCGAGCTCGATCCGTTCAGTGGTCCTGAGAGATTCTATTGTTCACAGGCGATCTCGTAGGCAGTCTACCGCCAGACCTACAGCTCAGCCTCCACCTCCTCCGATTCCGACACAAGTGAGTCCCGCGGATCGGATGATTATCATATCATGATACTGTTTGTGCATTGGAACTCTTTGAGGGATCGGCCTGCATGTTCGAATGGGGATTCTCATCCGCCCCTTGATATTTCAGCCGCCCCCGGCCGCAGCGCCGTCGGAAAGTTCGGAAGATTACGAGGTTCCTATTTGTCATGAAACCTACAGCGAAACGTCATCAAATCTCTACGATGAACAATGTGAGTTGAGAAATTCTCATCAGCGACGAGCTTACCGAACAAGACCGAATTGTTCCATCCTTGGCCTCTGGATCTCTTTAGTCGTCTCCTAGGCTAGACTTACTCGGAGAGACATCGCCAGGAATGATTCTTGCCATCATTATTGGTGTCATCCCGCGTCTTCGATCATGTTTAATCGTCGAGCAACTGCGAGCACTTCACAGAATTAGCCTAGGGACTGAGTTGGAACTCCGTTAGCTGAAACCCGACACTTTCGTTCATGAAACGAACATGTTCCCACTTCGAGCATCTCTGAATCCACGACACGCCCACAAATTACTTCCACCCCTTGAATTCGCCAACATTCGGTACGCCGCACCTCAACCACCCTAGAACCGGCTCGTTGGTTGCTTGGTTGGTTTCCTCAGTGCTTGGCTTGTCCTCCGGCTGTCGCTCTGAAGAGTCCAGGAAGAAGCATTCGGCATGAACTCCTCTGCGGAAGGGTTACTCGACGATCACCCTCAACTAAATTTCACGCCTCTAAGACTCATAGCGTATAATAACGAACGGCGGGACGAAGGACTTCGGAATCCTGGTTTACCCTGTTCTCCTTCAGGATAGAGAATATGGAGTCCTTAGGCTTAATTTTCCCGTGGTTCAGGGCTGCTGATGGCATGCACTTCCGTAGGTCGGGCGATGCTTAGGCGTGACTTGCTAATATGCCAACGAGCGTATTCGGGGTGCGCCACCCCTTTATTTTTTCTCTCGAGTTCGCTTCCAGGCCATTGACTTCACAATGCATGTGCCACATTCAAGTACGAGAGCTATGAAAAGGATACGATGTATAGTGATGATGAATGAGAGACTCGGCGGGGGTGGAGTGCAGCCGCCACTCAAGAAGAACACAGATGGATACATCGCGAAGCATATGCTCACTTCATTGAAGCCTTTGACAGCGATGAGCCCCACGGGATATCGAGAGATGTGCTTAATGACCTCAATGGCCTTCATTTCTCCACTTTGAGACTGTTGTCACGGCGGGAAATTCGGTTGTTGCTCCGTATCGGGTTGATCGATAGAGCTCCTCTCTGTACTTCCCCAAAGTCCGCTCCCGACGGAAACGATATCTGCGTATCGCGTACCTGCCTAATAGGGATTCGATAATTATCGAGCATTACCATATTGGTCCTCGCAGAACATGTGGGTTTGCTGTACCGAGTGACGGCGCGAGTGATTATGTCACGACGGGGTCGTTGTCAACGGTGAAGAAGCACGCTGACGTTTCGCTCCTCTCTCCTTTCAGCTACTTATGAGCAGATCGAACATTTGGAGCAAACTTACGAAGAAGTTCGCGAAGGTAAAATTACGACTTCTCCCAGCATCTCTAACAAGCCTCTAACCACTGCAACCGGCCAAAAAATCAAAGGTACTGCCTTAACCCATTTACCGGTCTAATTAGCATAAAAGATATGCATTCATGGGACCGAGAATAATATTCAATGTCCGATGCTGTGCTTGTGGCAATCCCGAAACGCTTGTCGAAGCTTACCCATAGGCATGAGCTCACTCAGCTAGCACCGCTTGATGTCGCGAGAGTTGACATTTCTCGAAGCTGCTTCGCTAATCTACTTCGACGCTTGTGTGACTCAAGCCGTGCTTTAAATATTGTCCCGGATTCGTTGACCGTCCAAGACTTCACAAGCATGGATCTAGTCGATTACGAGTCCAGCTCGTCAACGGGCGACGAGGTGTATCGAAATCGGAGAGCTCGAACCAGAGGCGCACGAATACTCTCAAGAGCGGCAAGGTCGGACTACAGTGCTGACGAGGAAGACAACAGTGCCTCAGATTCCGTGGAAAGTGACTGTGCAACGCCCATGGATTTGAACGACTACAATGCAGCTGTCCTTTACGATGTCCCGACGGACGGTGGTAAACGTGCAACGCGACTTCATGTGATTCCCGCGGGGGCCTCGAGGGCTCGCAGTATGTCGGAGCGGAACTGTGGAAGGAACATAAGGGCAACGCGAAGACTTTTGTCGGAGGTCCCAGCCCCGGATACTAACCCCGGAACGAGTTCCGAAGAGGATAGAACCGAAGTTCCGCCCAGGAGTTGGTCGACTCTGAGGAAGAAGCTCCGAGCCTTCTTGCGAATGGTCCCAACTAACACCAAGGACGAAACGATGGCATCTCCATGTCGATTCTTTACAGATGCATTGCCGAAACCCCCGCTGTTGCCTCGACAAAACTCCAACCCTTTAGGATTACTGCCCGCACCCCCGCGACCAAAGGCGCTCAAGCCATCGAAAACATCTCCTTCTCCTTTGCTACATCGTGCGACTCCATTCTCGGAAAAGAGCTACGACAGCGTGAGCTGTGAGTGTCCCCTGTAGCAGTCGAATAACTGGCCCTCTCAGGTTCCGCATCCTTACCTTGTGCTCGACATGTCGCGTCGCTTCCAATGCCTGGGATTTCCCTCTTCTCCATGCTCGCTGCATGCGGGCTCCCCTCAGACCTCCGGACGAGCAAGTTAGAGAAAGAGCCCAATCCCGCAGGAATCAAATTCCACGATCTTCCTCTTTCAGTGAGCTCTCTCGTGAACCGTCCGCTACCGCCGGTGCCAACAGTTGAGGATGTTTATGCTGATGTCAATTGTCAAGACGAAGCCGTGAGTTTAGGATAGCAGTGATTCTGGAATTGTTCTGGGAAAATTCCGGATTCCTCATTCGAATGCCTGATTCGATTTTTTTGCGAATTTTAGCCACGCCACGAGTTATCGGTCTACCCCTGGTTCCACGACGTGGAACGCGAGGACGTAGAGAAGATGCTGCGTGAGATCGGGGAGCAGGGCTGCTTCTTAGTCCGAGTCTCGCGCAGAGGTGGGCCTAGCAGACCGTACACGTTGAGTTTGCTGCACGAAGGTCGGATTTTCCACCTCCTCATACGCAAACGACCCGATGATACGTTCGCCCTAGGATCAGAAAAGCCCAAAGAAAAGGTAAGCTAGAGTTTCTCGATGATCATTCCGCCGAGCGGAGACTTCCGACAGCGATGACGAACAGCCGCGGACTCTCCGTCATGTCACTTCACGATTGAGTTCTCATCCCTGGATCCTCTGATTGAAGGTGTTCAAGATGGTCAGCGACCTGATCGAGTACCATCGCCAAGAAGAGATTCTGCTAACTTCACGAAATCAGTCTGCCGGGAGCACGCGTCTCACAGAAACTCATCATGTCTAGCTCAGTGGCCGATGAAGCCCACGATTCGAGGGATCTGTCATATGAGAGCTCGAAGGGAGGTGGACGAAAACCGAGCAGGACGCCTTCTGTAAATAGACATCAGGAGAGTTTCCTCAGACGAGACGAGCACCGAGTAGTGTGCGAGGGAAGGCGGCAAAAAGGGATCTTGCTCGTTCCTGTGCCATATCTGGCCGTATTTATCGCTCGACTCGTTTGGGATCCTCACTCGGAGTTCTTGTGAACCTGTGCTCTTCCTAGTCAAGAATGTTGGAGATATAGCGCGACTTTCATTTGGACGATCATCTGATCCATCGGTTTGTTTTTCAACATTAGCCAAGGCTCCATCCTCAAAACAGAAGGTCATGGATATTTCTATTCAATAAATGTAATATATGTTGCGATAATGCGATACGTCTAATGTATTTGAGCGTTCCGTCCCGAGTTTGGCATCAGGAAGATATGGCTCCAGAAAGACATATTTTTGAAACTGAAGCGAGCTCGAGACGGTTGGTTCTCGATTCGAATATCACTAGTCCTACAGACTAGACTTCGGCGCTGCTGCGTCCGGTGGCGACGCGCGGCCTCCTCTCGCCGAAAATCCCTCGCCCTCGATGTGTCCTCCTCGCCTCACAGAAATGTTTCGCGTCTAGCGACATAGGAGCCAGTTTCGGCGCTGAATGCATCGGAGTAAACCGCGTTATTCGTTGATCCGTGATCGTGCCGGTTCCGTCGTACTCCGTTCCTTGTTTGAGTTCTTCAAGTCCGTACCTTAGCAGAGACAGGTTCCCAAACGCCAAAGCATGTCTGTGAAGAGACTGCGACACTTGGTCGAGCTCCCCAGCTCAGATAAAACTGAAATCCTCACTCTGTTCAAATACCAGAACCATCAAACCTATTTGGACTATGTGCGAATGCATCTGAGTTTTGTTCTGGATCTTCCAACCGATGAGTTCGCTCCTCTGCTGGATACTGACTACTTCAAAGAAACCAGATTCACCTGTCCCCCGCTAAAAAGGCAAAGATACTAAAGGTATGATCACGAATGTGGAGGGGGAGGAGGCGAAATCTCTAAGCTCCGAGGGTCACTCGCCGGACTCGCTGTCGGACTGTCATCGATCATCGCGGAGTGTTTACACCGGCGGCTCGGACTGACGCTCGGAGCCAGAGAGAAATCGAGCTGAGTCCGCCGCTGGATAGAAGCTTCCTTGACCACTGATTCTGTTAGTGGTTAAGTCTTCTATTTTTTTTGCGTGCAACGGTCTGTTATGGGAGTAGTCCCCAGTCAGTGAGAGAGGCAGACAAACCATTCATCAAGAGCTTTGACAACCAATACATCTTTCATTCGATAACACATTTTTGCTAACTCCGGTGTCTTCCTGTCGCTCGAAGAGCCTTGAAGAGAGTTCTATACCCACAAAGAACTCGCGGACTCTCTCGAATCTAGCGAGAGGTCCATTTTCGGATACTTTCCTATTCACTCACTAGTCGAAAAGCTCGGATTGGGGAAGTCGAGTATCCTCATAGGCACCAGAATCCGAATATGACGAAGGATACGTCGCGCGCTGCCTGGGAAGATGCCCGTGCCAACCGTTTCCGCACAGGCGAAAATAATAGTGAGAACTGACTCGTTCTTAGTCCGCTATCACTGTGTAGGCCGGTGAGAACGAACCCTCGATCAAAGGTCGTGAGGCGGTTCAGCTTCTGCATCGGACGGCTACGGGGAGACCAACGAAACTCACAGGCGAAGCTTGTAATTAAACGTGCGGCACGAGAAGCGCTGCTCAGTAAGGAGATTAAAGTTGCTCTTCAAGTTTCGCTAGTTTGTCTTGGAGATGTATTTTGGCGCTGTTTTTGGAAGCCAAAGCTAATTCATCAGCTCTGTGAGGGGAGAAAGCACAGAAGATTAGCTCCGACGGAACATCGGCACAACAAGTATTCCTCCATTGAGAGTGACACTGGTGTTTACATGGGAACAACTCTTTGCTCCAAGCCTCCAACGTAATTCTCCGAGCGTCGTCTCCGAAATATATTTCGGACAAACGCTTCTATCGGAAACCGAACCCACTAGATAGGCCTTAGAAAGGACGCACCGAGTTCAGAAGAGCTCGTATTGTCTTGGTGGATGTGCATGCATTGTCCGGTGGGCTCTCCGGACAGAGTGGATAGTTACGCTCGTCGGCTGTCTCATTGGCTGGCTGCCGGTAATCCATGAGCAGCTGTTTTTGCTACACGGAGAGTAGCCTATGTCAGAAGCCAGTCTTCAATGACGAGGCTCATGTTCGTGTAAAATGCAAGAAGAGAGATGAGCAGCGACGAGGGTACAAACAACCGAAAGTAGGAGGACAGCAGCGTGTAAATTTCCATGGCCATGCCGACGACTTACGAATAACGCAGGATCAACAAACTCATTTTATGATATGGCCCGTGCTCGATATATCGAGCCCACCAGTGAAGGCTCATCTTACTCGTCGAGTATTAAGCGGATACACAACACGACCCGTTGGGATCGGTCAAGCGGACTGTTTCGGGTAGCAATCGATGGAATCAGCGACGATGTCGAGAATACTGATCTCAGTCACCGAGAGCATCGACCGGCAAAAGTTGCCTGACTAAAAATCAAATCCGGGTGTTTTGGCTCCGCACATGGAGTCCTACTCTACAACCCCACCTCATTAATTTTAATCCAGATTTTGTACGATTTTCAAAGAAATCCGAGAGAGAAAGGCCGACCAACTCACCGGGCGGGTTCATTCGGTCTGGTCTCTGGTCCCTTCAGCTCATTCGGAGCTGGCGGCGGATAAAATTGAAAATCATACTGCATCAGGCTCGACCTTCACCGCTTACTTAGTGGTTGCCATTTGAAAACCCATGAAAGCCCAGTCGGAGCAGTCGTCGAGAGACTTCATTCAGGTTCGATATGTTCGGAAGCGCCATTCCTGAAGTGAGCAGCCCTAGTCGAAGCCAGTGATCCAGCGAGACGAAATCGTGCTCAACTTTCTCGAAGATTGAGCCATCCTGTACACCCTAGGGGAGAGAGAGCGATTTCGATCCGTGCTTTTGAATTTTCTTTCGGGAGACAAGGAGACATACACCCACACTGTTGTACAATTTGGAGCAACCCTCTCGATAGCGGAGGAGGACCTTAACTCTACATCGACTCCCGAGGCGTGGTCGAGAATTAATTTGCTGTCACCCGAACTTCGCGTCGACTCCAGTTATCCGATGCAGCTGCCTCGTGAAATATTGGACTATTTCCCATGGCTTGACGGTGAGGTTTAGGCGATGAAGGTGAAAATAACGAAAATTGAAGCTACCAGTCGCATCTCCGTTAATTGAAAGTCATTTTCATTATTTAGGGAGAGCGATCAATCAGCGAGGTAAACAGACGCTTGCTTAGACACTGACCAGGCATCTGCGATGTGCCATTTGAGATTGAACTCTCACTTGCGGCTTGAAAAAAACTGAGCAAAGAGGATTTATGACCGCGACAAAAGCGTGCAGAGGAGAAAAACTCTGGTTGGGGAGCTCGGAGGAAGTTCGATGCTCGGACCGTGTCGTCCTCATGGAGTCCATGGCTGCCGTTGTTCGATCGAGGTGAATGTTGAAGCGCCTGGCCGATCGGGAGTTGCCTTGTGGCCGACCGGTTCTTGTGTTTTCTCCATCCGATTGATCGGATGTAGTGATTAATCGAAAACATTCGCATCGAATTTCGAGCCCACCAAGCAGAGCAGGCGGATGACGATTTGTAGTCGAGCTACCAGAGTCCACTGAGCTCTGGTTGTACATTAGTTATGCCTCGAGAACTGAATCTCGGAGTGCGTCCGAATCGCATGTTCTGCCTCGACTCTCGGAGCGGACTCCGATCGGCGTGGGTTGAGATACCCGGATTGACTCGGCCCCCTGGTTAGGGATACCTTTCTCTTTCTCGTGAGCATCAAGTTTTTTTCCCGCATAGTCAGCTCGCAAGGATCGAAATTATGTCAGTTCCGCAACTGAAGGCTGCACCAGCCCTTTTTTCCGACCCCAGGCTCAGGCAGCTCAGGTCTTCCATCGCAGAGTATCTATCTGAATTTCGCATCGGTTTCGATTTCTGGCAGGTCAGGGGATGCGTGTGGGGGTCGCACGGAGCGTGATGATTTCATCGGCTTCAATCTATCAGGATTATCTGATCGCAATCGCGCTCACTACTATATCGCGATGGAGTACAGCCCGAGCATTTCCTGGAGTTCTCTCGCCGGTAATTCAGACCATCGACGGATCTCTTTTCGTTACCTACCTCTCACAGACTTACTGACAGCTCGAAATCATCAGAAAGACTGACTGGCTGAACCGGTGACAGACTAACCTGGTCCATAATTTGGGACTTCCGACAACTTCGGATAATGTGAGAGGTGTTCGTTTGGTGCTCGGCGCGCGACCGGGTCACAATTTGAATCCTTGCCTGTCGTCTAGTCTAGTGGACCTTGATCCGTTCTTATTAGTAGGGCACGTGATCGATCACGCTGTGGCTCATTACGGTCGTTCATCGGCATAGGGGTTTGAACTTGGACCTACGGCTGTTTGTAGTTCCAGTCCACTGCCGAGAGCTTCGCGATGCGGGCGTGATGCAGGCCAAATATCGGCTTTGACAGAGTACACGGAATTTTTAAACTCCGATCTGGGTAGGCAGCTGGTAGGAGGGCTGCGTTCGAATCACTCGATACATGGTTATCCGTTCGCTCGTTTATCCCTGGGTCTATGAGCTCGGGACTCTCGTCTCTTTATCACGAGAGCGAGGGATTCGGTCGCGTGCCGCGAACTCTAGAGGGAAGTTCTCGCCTTCCAACGGGTGTCTCTTCCAATCTGAATCAACTTCAGGCGGTTCTATCGAACGTGTCCATTCGATCGCTTTTCATCGTCGACGGGGCTCTTTGAAAAATTATGAAATCTGTCTCTTTGAGTGAAGCGCGTGAAGCAGACGAACGGAGTGAGCAGCAATGAAACTCACTCGTCATCGTCGCCGATGAAATGTCGTCCCCCGACAGATGAACAGCTGATCAAAAAGGAACGAGGGGTCCGTTGCTTCACCAGAACTACTGGTTGGTTACGATTGCAAAAACGCAACGGGTGAACGCAGCCGTCCCCAGTCAAGCAGCCAGCCAGCCAAGTCGCGAAGCAGCCAGCCAGCCAGCTCGCTGGCCAGTTTATCATTCAGGGAGAGATTGAAGTGCGGCCGCCGACACCATGGTGATGGTGGAGGTGATCTCTGCGTGAACCAGATGGACCAATTCGAATACTAATGACCGCACTGGGAGTAATGTATTTACGATTTGGGGGCGGCTTACAAGCCGATACAGGCACCCGCTGTGAGGAGATCAAGTTTCGATGGCTCCGATAGCGTCTTGTCAGGCAACTCGAATAACGCGGATCGTGCAGGCTGTTGGTTAATTCTTGTATACCGGACCCGTGTAATAGTCCCGAGAGCATCCAATCCAATCGCTGTATTCGAGTGAGTGGAATTACGAAAGCCTATCGCGTCCGTTGGACTCGGGATTTGTTTACAATGAGCACCAGCACTCTTCGATCAAAGGAGCGCTTCACCGAACCGGTAGTTTATTGAAAACGCCGTTAAACTCTCTCCAGACTACTTGTCAACACTCGAGAGGAGTCTGAGATGCAATGCCGCTGCTGAATGAATCCGAATGCCGAACAGAGCCTTAGAAAAATTCGGGACTCAACCCGAGAAATGATTAGGCTCATCAAAAATCCGGTTTTTCGGCTGATTAAGAAAATATTCTCGTTTGGGCTCTGTTTAAGATTACGAATATTCGTCAGAATCGGTGCGATATTCCCACAGTTCTGCGACCGCGACACTTTAGGCAGTGGTTTGAGCGTTCTCGGTTCTGCCTTCTGTGTTTACTGGCAACTCTATCACGCTTCGCTGGAATCTGAGTTGCTGAGTGAGGCCTACTCAGTCAGTCACTTACGATCTGTCTGGCGAGCAGGCGAGCGAGTCTGCTCACTCGGATCCATCGACCACACCACTGTGTCGAGAGACGATCTTTCATCTATCGATAGATTGTCTACGATTGCAATGGACTTCGTCAACTGGGGGAAAAACTCGTTCAAGCAGGGAAGCGCACCCATCCGAGCCCCAGTGGACCGCTGTCCTCGGCGATCCTGTCGAGGCACGGATCGAAATCCGCCCGGATTGGATACCGACACCCGATTCGAGCATTGGCTCCTACAAACAAGCGTGGGTAAAACCGGTCCTCCGCGAGCTCGGAGCGGCGGAAGTTACCGTAGAGGCGAGGGAGCATATATTCATTTGCCATCACCATCATTATATTGTGTCAATATGTTTCGAACATTGCGGCAATGTCTCCGGGAAAACTGATATTGATGCTTCCTGATGATTCGCTATGTGATGACGGCTCAAGAATCGCGAGCCGGTGATCTTGGAAACTAGGGGATGACCGACGGTTTGGTACTTAAGCCAGACATGAACTTGTCGCGCAAGCAATTTGAGCGCATTTGTCGGAGAAAAAATTCTGCCACACACCTCGTTGAAACCGGAATTCGTGTAGGGTCCTCGTCGCTGACTGACTGAGGCATATGTTGAAGCAATTCGTGATCGAGTCAAAAGTTTTGTCGAGAAAAAATCATCCTTTGTGAATAGCGAGAAACCGGAAATCGCTGGTGAGAGGACACTTCCGCGAGACGGTTACGCCGGAGTCTGACTTAAGCTCTTCAACCTGTTTTGGTTTCTAAAGCCTGCTGATGCACGAGGTATTGTTTTTACTCGATTGTTCCATTCCACCGCGTCTGGCCCGCTCTAATCGGGGGCTCAGGCGACTTTGTGTTGATGTGACCGATGTGTGGCTGGTGCTGAAGCGCTTCTGGTGGGTATTCGGAATCCGGGTACCCGTGACAGGTATTCTCTCGGAATATGAGTGCCTTCGTAGAGACTCTGATTTCGTGGACGAATATTCGTGGCGATGTTTAGGGAGCAATTTTTGATCTGGACAACCGCTTTGGGTGTTCGAGATCTCGATCACCGTGATTCGTCGCGGTGTTCCTTTTGACGGTGTCGCCCGTGTTATTCGCATCGATACGGCAGCGGAGGGTCCAGAACGGAGCGCTTTAACCATTTTGAAAGTCGTCCAAAACCCTCTTGTCTGTCCGATCCATCTCCTCGTCACCACCTGCGTGGTATCAAAACGAGTTGGTTTTCCCCGAGCCTCGGAAAAAAATCGCGCAGAATTTCGCTGCTCACATCAAGTGCGGCCTTTTCTCTCAGCGAAGGTTGTAAACTCGAGCAGAATTCAGCCTGATTTAGTATGCGACAGTGTTCGTTCAGCGAAAACAGCCGGAATTAAGACGCCAAGTCCGAACTACAAATTTACGATACACGAATTTTCGTGCTTTTTTGCGTGTCCCGCGCTGCCGACTTCTGTACCTGCCACGATGCACTATTATGACTTTCTCGCTTTCTACTCGAAAACAATCCTCCGGCTCCCCTGCGGTCCCACAGCTGATTTTACTAGCAGGGACTGGTTTACGTCAGTCGAGCCCGATCAGGCGGGATATTTATGGCGGACGAAAGCTAGATCGCTACCTGGGACGAACAGTCGACCCGCTTCTATGGGATCCAAATATGCGAGAGTCCCGCATATGAAGCCTTTTTCCTACGGTTTCGCGATGGTTTCGGCTGTACTAGGAGACTCTGATAGACAGCTGCTTGGAGTGGCTCGCGACTGGCAGGTGCCCGTTGACGTCTCCATTTACGCCGGTGATATACGGCTCCTAGGGTTTCATTTCGATCGATAAACGTCAACGAAATCTTTGCGGCTGTAACCGGCGCCGCGCCGTACTAGTCGGCCATGTCCAAAGACCGCTTTTTGCTCCACAATTGATATACATATCTCAAGTTCAAGCTTCGGGACTGAGCTCGGAACACTAGAAAAGAATATGGTGGGTAATCCACTTCTTTTCATCTCGTTCTCTCGGGGAAGACGTCTCCGATTGTCCTTCCATTCCATTGATGACACTCGCCGAGTGAAGATCTCCGAGAAGATATGACTCTTCCGCCGAATTGTAGGTGGTCTCTGTGACGGGATCTTTTGTGCAGGAGAACGATGAGAATCCGTTTCTTCTTTCACGCCCGCGAGTGGAGCTCTGTAGCTGAGCTTCATTAGAATACTCCGACCGTTTATGTGTCGCACCGTTCAGGCTGTCTTGAGGAGAACCGGATCGCATCACTTCCGACCGGACGCGACCGTCTCCGGAGCCGAAGTCCACCTTCGCAGAATGTAGATCAAGAAATTCGAGTCAACGATAATGATCGACTTCCTATCGTACCGAGTCTGAGTCTCTCTCTGTCGAAGATTGTTTTATCCTCATTTAAAGGTCCGCAGCGCGTATCGAAGATGACCGCTTCCTTGCTCGCTCGAAATTGCTATATGCTTCCGGACGGCCGCCTACGACAGGTGTCTCATGAGGGCGCCGGAAACTCTCGCCGGCTCGCGCGCCTTCACCGGCGCACCTGACTTCCCGCCGCCACCTTCGTTTATCCAACGATCCGGAAACTCGAAATAGCCTAGCATTCAAGAGTCGGGGAATCGATTTCTCGGAGGAGTGAGCCCGGGCTCGTTGGGGGTATGCACATTCTGCGCGTTCGGAGAGCTCTGGTCGAAGAAGCTGGCGCTTCCGATCGCTCGCAACGGCCATTCATGGCTCTTCGCCTACGACGACACCACCGAAGAAAGAAGGCCAGGTGTCGTTATCACGGCGATCCTTCAAAGAACGGCTTAAAGTGTCGTCGATTCTGACTGAGATGTTTATTGCATTCCAATGAAGATCTTTCAATCTTTCTTCTGCCCGAACCGTATCGGCTCCGGTGGTTGGCCGTCTCCGTCGTGGTCATGCCGTCGTTCTTCCCACGACTCAGTACAACGGTCCCACCGAATGAAGAATAAGAACCGATGTCCGTTAAATGGCTCCGATGATCTGCGGCTACAGAAGCCGCCGATGGCGTTACTGCCGGGAGCCATCCCCGTAATTGTCCATATGCTTCGAATGGACGAGCGGCACTCGAACGGTGGAGAATTATTGACGGATCAATTTTGCTCGGCTATTATTTTTTTCAGAAATGATTCATCGGCCCATTTAGTAGTCACCGGTTGTCTGACACGCCGTCTGTATCACATCGCAAATTCAGAGTTAGCTGTCGCCGTGTGACTAAAGTACTTTCTGCTTATTTATTTTCAGTTGCATGGGGATCGCCTCTCACCACCGAGGGAATAGCACAAGTCTCGCAGCTGATAGATTACCTCATGATCGACCAGAGTAAGTTCAATCGTTTCATTAAAATTGCTCTCTGGTGATGCCGTACAACATTCCGTAGTCGGGCCAGATAAAGGCTTCGTTCGGCCGAGAAGATGAGAACCGAAAATATACATACTACATGAGATCAGCGACGCTTGGGACGCGGCGTTGGTTGTAAACTTGCCGCGGGCTCATCTCGTCCGAAAGACAAGGTAGTCTCGTTGGCAAGTTCTGGGAGGTGAAGCCTCTCACACCTGTGAACTACGAAGCCTGAGCGCTTGGATAACTTCACCTGAGAACGGAGCTCGTGTTGGCCTTACGACACCGCTCTTCAGAACAAAATTCTCAGGATCTAGATCTACACGCTGGCAGAAACAGAACCGATGCTGTTGGCCGCTCTTCAACGGATGTCTGAAAGCATCCCTTGGATAGCTTGCTAGAAGCTGGCTCGCCGGCTTGCTTAACTTCCTCCTTGGAGCAATTTGCAATGTAAAGTCGCCCGGCTAGAGTGCGGTGGTGGTTTGGCGAACCGCAAGCACCTCCTCGTTCTCTGAGAACGAGGAACTCCTCCTCTCGGCAGAAGCGAAAGGGGTAGAGAGCGAGGAACTCATTTATTCTAATCAACTTATGTAAAGGGTTCGTTGAAGGATTTTTGTGTGAGACTTCAGAGCACCGCCTTCGAGGTTCTCTCGCTGAAGCGAGAGACGCTCTAGGGCTCGAGCCACGGAAGACTGAGCAGATTTGATACGAGCAAGATTTCTCCACGGATTCCCCGAGGGCGTGTCCCCGAAATCTTCAGTACCTTCGGGGACACGCTATCCGAATGAAATGACCAGCAGCGCTCATCGTACGCTTTATTTTTTACTTGACATCGATGGATTCCTAAAGTCCAGGGCTTAGGGCATTTCATGGTCCGTTGCTAATATGGGAGTCGACGTAAAAAACAAGAGCCTCGAGCCCAACCAGAGAGCCAATGTTCGAATGCCTATATCTCTCATGATGATCATCGTCGTTGTCGTTGTCATGATCATGAGCGGAGGGATTACAAGTTCTGATACATTGAATATACTCTCCGCTGTTGCTGGTTCTGCTCGTCTCTCTAATCCACTGGTTGCAATTTTTGAAATTCTCCCAGGCATTCAAGCGATGATCTTTTGCCACCTGAAGGATTACGCATCGTCCCATGCCGACTACAATGTTGGCTTCGGGCTGTGCATGAGACACAGACCACGAGTCGTAGCTACAGACGGAGATGAGCTGCGTATCGTTTATGACGAAAGGTTTCTGCATCGGAATTTTCAAATTCGTTCCGAGCGTTCTCTGGCTCGAGCCTCGAGTTGAAATAAGAAAACGTTGAAAACGTGGATCATCCAGGTCACGAGGAACGGCATCATGAACATGAACGGCGGCGGACTCGAGCATTCGAATCGGCGACGACTTTATTTTCGTTGATGATCGTTTGTTTGGGGCGAAGTGACTCGTCGGTCTCTTGAAGAATTTTCCACTCGCTACTCACCGATGAAGTCTTTAGCGAGCGAATTTCTCTGAATCAATTTGTGAGAGCTGACTTCTTTGACAGCTTCGATTGACATCGAGCATAAAAGTTGCAATGTTGTGACGCGCTTCCAAGAAGCCAGCAAACAGCCCGTGAACACTCTGAAGATTTTTTCCTCTCGCTGGACTCAAGCAAGAGCTGTTATGGCTCGAAAATTGTTTTTGTCTCATGATCAAGTTTCAGCGACGAACCCCTTGAGCGGCGATTCTACTTTGGATTGACATCCATCGAAATCACAGCTGTTGGTCGGCGCAAAACGCTCTCTCGGTTACAATTCATGCTTGATCCGATAATTTCTTAGCCGCCGAAAGGGGAAACCCCACATCGGTGAACGCTTCTACAATCGAAAGCCTATTTCTTAGCGCCTCGTTTACGCTATCGATTCCTTTGCAGATTGTCAAGAAGAAGGTCTCTTCAGAAAAACCGGCAGCGTAACCCGCCAGTCGGAACTCCGAGCTCTGTTATGCGCCGGAGAGATCGTGGATCTCCACCAAGGAGACTTCAGTGTGCACGATTGTGCCTCGGTATTGAAAAGCTATCTCAACGAAATGGAGGAGCCGCTCTTGACTCAAGCACTTTTTCAACCATTTATGAAAGTTGTCGGTAAGTTATTAAAGACGAAGTCATGCGTTGAAGATGAAACCGTTCAGATAGCGCTACCGGGACACGCATCGAACGATTTGTCGAGAAGAGATTTCAATTCTGAATGGAACTCACAACCAGACAGTAGAGAATGACGCGTCGTCCCGACATCTATGTAGAATTGAAAAGTTCGACTTGACGTTCAACTCAAGTGAAGTGGAACAACCGGACTTCCACCGACAAATTATCGCCGAAGCACTGACCGACAGGATGTTGCGTTGAGGGGAAGAGGTACTGCCCGAACACATATTTGTTCGAAAATTGAGATTCTATCGCTTGGTCTGTATGATGATTCGATGGTACGCGTCGAATGCAAGTGCGAAGTCAGCCTAACGATGCTTCACACGCAAGTCATAGCCGATTCGGCAGACTCACCTCACCGCTTCGAGCGAGCGATTCAGCCTCGCTTCACTAGGGCGGACTGAGATTCGCGGCTCTTTTCACCAACACTGCACTGGGTGTACGATGGTTACTCTCTCGCAGCTGAAGCGAGGACTCAGACCTCGATCGTCAGCGACGCTGTCCCGAGGTCCACATCACGAACGATTGAGCGGGTCAATTCGATCCCGGTGCGAATTGAAGGGACGAGACACGTCTGACCGAAAACATCTACGAGTCTACGCTCAACGACAGACATGAATCGATCTCGCTCGGGGGTCCGATCAGATCATCATTACTCGTTATTCCATTGAGAAAATTGGTTTTATCCGACTTTTCCTCGCCACCCCTCCTCACACACAATAGAGTAAATTAATCGAATCACCATTCCGTCGCTGTTTCGGCCACGCGGCAGTTCGCATATGTTATGCCTATTGTGGTAGGCGCTGGTGTTGGCGGGGGAATGTGATGGACACGCGAACCGAGTGGCCTCCCTACGGCCACATGCCACACCGGTAACGGCAACCAAAAGGATTCGGAACCGAACACATGTTTAAATGACTCCGCCAGTGGAACATCACCAACAGCCTAACTGCCCTGAGAGAAGCTCAATCGCCGATGTCGGCAGCGTCTTTGGGACCCGGATCCTGAACCGCCACAGTCAGTCTTGGCACCGACATCGAACACATATGAACAGTCGAGACCGTCCCGGTGGATTTTTTAGAACTCTCGTGGCTCGATCGAGCGTCGCTGAGTTCCGTCGTATAAATGAGTTCTGAGTTCGATCCACGATCTTCTTCCAGAGCTGCAGAGGGATAAGACGCTACCATCAATAAGAGAAGAAATTTTGAGGAAGCGCGTCAAATGCGTCCAACTACTGTTTCAACTGTTACCGCTCTACAATTATCATCTGTTGAAACCTTTGCTAGCTCTCCTACACAAAGTCGCTATCAACAAAGACACAAACCGGATGGATGCCACCTGTCTCGCCAAGCTCTTCGCCCCTGTTATCATGTGTCCGAAAACGGTGAGTACCCGAAATGAACTCGATAGTTGTTTTTCGGATTGAACCTGGTTTTTGGTGGGGGTGGTTCCATACAGATCTCCATGAGCGGTGCGCAACTCCATCTCCATCATTTGTACATCATACATTCGTCTCCAAGATCAGTGTGTTCGATCCAGAAGGGAAACAGCATCAAAACGACTCGACAAACCATGATGACGCCGCGCCCGGCGGCGCTTCTTGTGTTTGTTGTGCCTAGAGAGGAGCCCGTGTAGAAAACCGTTGAAAAAATTTCTTCCGTCATTCTTCTCGAGAGCGTAAGGAGATGCCACGGCGCCGACGGTGGATGTTGCCGCTTGAATGTTGCTGCCTCCAGTGGTGCAGTCAGTGGTTGCTGTGGCGGTGGCGAAAGTGCCGCCGCGCGCCGTCAGCGATTCAGAGCGCTCCTGGTTTAGACTCTCCGTTCGCCAATCATCGAATCCGTAGATTGGGTTCCTAATTTCAATAGCTGGCCTTCAAGAGTGATTTCCGAGGCAGTTGAACTTCGCCGAGTGATGCCTACGCCGAATCCTAGCATGCTTCTGACCATAGAAAGAAAGACAGAGGGCTCTACGGCCATCCGAATCCCCCGGATATAGGTATTCGGCGGGGAAAAGACGACAACACATTTCGAACAGATGCGCCGCCGCGCCGTTCGGATCGTTGGCCTGTGACAGGCAGCCTGTTCCGGAAACCGAAGTGCACGTTTAAACTCTCGCATGCGAGTATTCGCATCGGTCCCGATAGCTCCTAAGGAGTCGCTTATCCGTGCGACGAACCGTGATTACGTTTTGAGCATATGGAACCCGTTAGCTGGCTGCGGTTAGGCCTGCCGATCACTTCAATGGGAAGCTCTCGGGGTTTCTCCTCATTGAGTCGCGAGCGACTTGTTGAGTAACTCGAAATTTTTCGAGTGATTCCGCCGCGTCTCGCCGGGAACAATCGATCGAAATCAAAAGAGCCCCATCTAGAGATGGGAGACCTCTCGCATCGCAAGGAGTATTTCAAAAGTCCTCTTTGAAGTCTATGTCCGTAAGGTGCCATTGATGATGATGGTTGATTCGCTCTAGAAAAATTCATCGTGTCGAAGACCTGGCGAACGTCGTGACAATCTCATGAACTCCGCGCGAGTTTGGTAGGCTGTTCGATTTCGGCCAGAGCAGTTTAAGGTTTATCGCTTTCATATGAGTCTTCATTTTCTGCTCGAAACGCGGGAAGGAAACTCTTATTGTTAGACAATTAAAGCTCAGTGATCTTCTCGAGCTCTCGACTGTGCTTCGACGAAAACGCTGGCAGACCCCTGCTCCGGTCTATATCTTCTGACAGAGCATTTCCACCGGAAATCCAGGAAAAAAGGTGTGGCCCCCGCACCGGTGCTGGGCTGGTGCTTGCTAATATCTGAAATTGAGCTCCTCCGTCTCTCCAGGCCATGTGTTTCATTTCGAGTACGAAACAGACGCCACGGATCTGGAGTGAAATGGGTCTGCCGTGTTTCTCAGAGTGGTATGGAGCCTTAGCGGCTCGATTAATTCTCAATCGTCATTCGATTTTGTAAATTGAGAGAATCGTTTGAGCTCATGTGCTCTCTCGAAAATGCAGAAATCTGAAGCATCGCGATCGGGCTGGCCGGATTGGAAAATGCCTCTGAAAAATCCAAGCATGAAATGGGCCATGGTTCTGGGAAGAACTCGATATCGGCAACCAAAAAACCTCTGTTCGAATTTTGCTCCCATGAGCTTTGGATTCGGAATTCTTCGGGTACGCAGCCGGCGTGAAACTTCGGCTCGTCGAACGAAGCTGGGGCACCAGTGCGACTCGGTCAGAAGTTGGGGTGGTGGAGGAGAGCTTTAAACGCCTCAGCCTCGTCGACGACGACGAAACTCTCCTCCTCCATCTTCGAGCGGGTTCACAGCGGTTCTTCGCGAGCTGGCGGCAATATATTATTGTATACATTGGCAAAAACAGCCTCGGAGGCCGCTCGAGGAGGCTTTCTCTCCTAAGCGCTAGAATCCGTTAAGGGGCAGCCAGTCAGCGCAAAGTCGGAGCGAGCATATGGCTCCGATTCAACGACAGCGCGAAGCCAACGACTACCAGCGTCTTCGCTGGCGGAGCTTCGATCGTTGGAACTTCGGTGCTATCGTTCACGAGATCTATGCTTCCCACCCCCATCGCAGTCAGAGACATCGCTCGGAATGAAAATAAAATCTTTGTATTGGAATTACGCTTGGAAAAAGAGAAGAAGGATGGGGATTGTTCGAGCGATTCGAAGGGCTTCGAACCAATCGGAGCGAAATTCAAATGATTAGGAAGTCCCGTCGTTGGTGACGAACAGGTTTTCAGATTCCTCCAACGTTCGGTGCTCGATCGTCGATGGGGTATGATCTTTTTCTTTAATGACGGTTCGGCTCGCGCGAGCAATAGTCGCTGGCGCCAAAAGAAACCGTGGCGTGCGCCTCGAGAGTCGCTTGTCGAAAATCATTGGGTTGTGGTTGTGCGAGTCTGGGGCATGTCTCTTCTCGCTGGTCCCGGGTTCCGCTGGTGCGCATCTGTCGTTCTCGGAGTGGCTGATCTTCAAGTTCGCCGAAGAAACTCTGGCTTTTAAAGCTCCATGTTGGAATTATTCGGCAAGCGAAACATGGCCACCGGAGCTCGGTCAGTTCAATTGGCCAGCATCCCCACCGACCGTAGTTCTAGATACTGCCGTGAATTTTTGGATCCGTCCCCGAGGGATCTGACAATATTTATTATCATTATTATTACTATCATCATCATCGTTGAACCGTTATCTCTGCAGCCCTGTGCGCTGATACTGGAGCGTGAGGACAGCCCGTTTATCACGAGCTTCTCTCTCGAAATCGCTGCGACTACTCAAAGTCGATGACTACTTGGAGTTTCTCTCCGATGACCAGCGAGCTATATTTCAAAGTGACCCCAAGGCCTTCGAGAAGCAGCAGATCGTCGACTTGCTCGGGTTTCAGCAAGCCAGCTGCGATTTCTGTCGTCAGGGTCAGTGGAGGATGAGTTTGCGGAGCTGAGGATTTCGGTTTCATTTTTGCCGCGTCCAAACCACATGCAATCGATTGGAAGGGAGTTCGGGGCCGACGAGGAAGAGAGTAGTTTGTGCGCTCTCATTAATTCCAATAACCTTTCGCGCGCCAGCGAGCTCCATGCTAATCCGAACCGGATCTGTCGTAGTGATAAAGAGATGAAAAAACTCCAGCGCTGCCAAACGGCGATTTTAGACGGCGTCAGCAGCATATGAACACGACAGTTTCCTCTACTACACTCAAATCCAGTCCCCGGACGGATCCGCTCCCTGCACGTGCACGGTGACATTCGGCCCGACGGGTGATGCACATCCTTTGCGGAGACAGACATCACGGCCATCGTCTACGTCGTCTGTCTCGTCTTGTTTCTGGCGGACACAGAATAGCCGATAATTCTGAGCTTCCTCTTCGGGATCCTCCGGGTCGTCCACTGAGTTCTTCAAACTTCGCTCTATCTTATTGTAGTCGAGTCGACGCTTTGACAGCAATCGTCGCAAAAATAATAGTAATGATAAATAACGATTAGGAAGTCTTTGTGACGTTCCTCCAGAACGCCCAAATAATCTTGCTCGAATCAAGCTTGAGTCACGTATCGTCGCCCGGTCCGGAATTCTATCTCCTCGATGTGTACGTTGGAACCGGAAGAGGTTGTCAATACAATTACGGAGACCGAATGGGAATTCTGGCAGCAAGCGCACCATGACCGCGATAAAACCATTCGGACAATTCACTTTCCTCGAAAAATCACCGTTATGTAAATCCGCACGTGTTCGTTCGTATGCACAATTATTTGAGCATAAAGTCCTCTATCGGGAGCGGCCAGAGGGCGAACCTCAAGTACAAACTTGGTACTTCTCCTGGCTTTAGTCGAAAACGCTCGATCCGGTATTCGGGACAGTCAGTCATGGAAGCAAGGATGTACAGAAAATACGTATCGTACGTTGGGGGAAAGTCCATCACGCTCTCCGCACATCAGCTGACCCCTCAACTGCCCCTGGCCCAATCCAACCTCCCGTATGGAATCGTAGTCCGACGGAAAGGCGCAGTGTATTTGGTACGCCGCGCGCCGGTACAAATCTCACGCGATGGGGCACCGGCCGCGTCTAATGAGCAGCCCGGTCAGTTTGTACAGAAGTTCTCGGCTTGGATGAGATCTTCCCAAGCTGTGTACACATGATTTGTTTCGATACTGAATACCTTTGCGGTAGAGTAGGTAGGTATGAATTAAAGATGAGGGCCTTTTCGTGCTCCATAAGCTCACTTTGTAGCAAAAAATGCTCTGTTCCGTAGCTGAAAGTATAAAGCCAGACTTTATGTTCCCTAGATGCTTCGTTGGCGGCTGTGTACTACGCGGCTGACTCGGAGCATGATTGACGTGATTGTCAGCCACTCGTCAAAGTTGAATCATGGCAAAAGAGAAACACATTGGATTCTCTTATGTTGAGGGCGTGCGTGCACCCATGTCACTCAGCTGTCCGTCTGGCTGCTCATTCGAAATATTCTGCTGGTGTCTTCTCGGCTCACGAGGGAGGAGTAGAGAATTAAAGTTAAACATTCAATGTTTCCTCTGCTTTTACAGATGTCGCCCGAGGAGTTCTTCACTAGAGTCCAACACCCAGCGGTGGAGTTGCTGACTTTCATTATTGAGCAGGAGCCAGTATTATTCAAACTGCCCGAGGAGCTCATACAGGACGTGATCGCCTTCATTCGGACAGAAGAGAACGACTCCGACGACCAAGCGGTGAGATTCCCATCCAGAACTCGAAGCTAGACCTTTCACGTGTTTCCACCGGAGTCAGAGCCCTCCCCAGCTCGGGGCGGGAACCGATCGGAGCTTCTTCCGCGTGTTTTTCTTGTAACTTGAGTTCCGTGATGGCTTCCCAGCCTACCGCAATGCCACGGATCCAGATTCAAACGCATCGGGAGAATGCTGAAGGGCGGCTGTACGGAGGGCCCTCTTCTCGCTGCGCACAACGAACGTCGCGACCGAGCGACCGACGTACCCAGTCTGCAAAGTGCGGCATTGAAGCGCGACATCCATTGAACTTGCTGATGATCACGGCTTGCTAGCTCGCTGACCGACTCGGTGCGCGATTCAACCTAGTCCGGCATGGGTGTCCAACGGGCGTTTCAGCGTCTGCTCTCCGACGGATGCAGCCTGCCCCCATTCGTCGCCGTTTTGTTATCCACCTCGCTTGGTGACTTTGCTTACGGGAACCGAAAGTCCATCCCACGACCGCCTTCACCACCGCCACCGCGTCACCAGACATCTGCTCTTATTGTTACACCTGGCTCCGTTTTCCACCCTGCCCTGCTGAACATTTGAGCTTCTCAGTTTCTGTCTCCAACTCGTGGGCTCCTTCAAAGGGTTGCAGCTGTGGGTCGCGTGTGAGTCTCGACGTAATTGTCTTCGTCCGGCGTTATGATCTTATAATGGGCACTAAAGCGGCTTTGTCATCGGCACGCTTCTCGAGACGGAAACGACTGTCCGAAATGGACGGGCAAGTCAACTTTTTATCGTAGCGACACTTCTCTGGGGCTTCCGATCGAACTCGGACCGAACCTCTGGAACAAGATATGGATTCGCCCGGGTAGCGGAGATGAAACCCCGCCGGTCCGAAAGTGGAGCGGTGAGGCAAGAAGAGACTCACATAAGTGAGCCGAGCGATTGTCCGTCCTTTAAACTGATTACACAATGATCAGAGCCGGAGTGGACAGGACAGCTGAAACTCCGTTCACTCGGTCGGTTCATCTGCTCGCTCAGCCCTGAATCGGTTGCTTGCTTCCCGACGACACTCAGCGGCCACCACCGTCCTCCGCCTCCGGTGCCCCGACGGTGATTTCCGAATCCTGCATTCTCACTCATTGTCAGTCAGTTTCGGATTCAGACAACTTCACTAAGGCACTAGCCTATGAGCTGCCGACGGGTTGATCTTCCGCATCGATACGACCGAAAATGAACGAAAGAGCATCTTATCAATCAGACGTAAACAAGGTGGACTTGGGACGCGTGGGTCAATCAGATTATTGTCAAAGACGCAGATGAGGTGGTCTCAAGATCGAGAATGTCGTCTCTCGCGGGCTATCTACGCCTACGGATGCCCACCTGGCTGATCAGGCACGCGAATTCGCCGCTGAGAGTCCATCCGTCGCATGACGATCCCATCAGAAGACATCTGCAGCTTGTTGAATTCGGTCCGATCAGTGGGGCAGGTATTGACGGAATCGAAGGCGGAATCACCTGGACTTACGTCGGCGAGGCTCGGAATGAGGCCTTCTCAGAAGACGATACCCCCATGAGATAATTCTTGGCCCGGACTAGACGATCTTACGACACCTCTCTGACCAGTCTCAAGGGTTTCGAAACTTCTTGAAAAAGCAGCCGTCTTCGTCGACACATGATAATCGAACCGCTCTACTGAGGACACCAGAATTAGCGGCTCTCCGCCGTGGATCCGAATATATAATCCATTTGGGCATTGGGACTCTCTATTTGTCCCGAATCAATCGAGAGAGACATTGATATATCAATCCGGGATCCGCCCGGCTACTGCCGAACGATCACATCGTTGGATCGAGCTGGTCGTTGATCACGTTCCCTCGTGACGACAGAATTCGTGCTCCGTGTCCGAAAGATCTTGTCTCGATACTTCACGATGATGGGAATGTTATGTGTGTGATTTTCTGAAATTCGTGCAGCATGAATGAACCATATCAGGAGAACTTCGGTCTGCATAGGTTTAATCGAGTCTGGGATGCGGAAAATGTGTAATCATTAGATTATTTGTCGAAAGCAAAGTCTGGGATTCGCGATACGCTCAACGGCTTCGGAAATGAACGCTGCAGCGTTTATCTCATTCATGTCCGAGCCGTGAAATATTGCCTGACACCGGGGAAAATTATACCAATGCCACATCGCTGGAAAGAAAACTGAAAATTGCACGGTGATTGGCAAGCCTTGAATTTGCTGAAGAGCCGATTCCGAGCCCGAATCATCGATACGGAGTCACAATCTTCGAGAATAGATAATCAGCAGAGAGAAGGAAAGCCTGGAAGGGCTGGGATTCTCAACGGTTCGGCGCATCCTTGTGTGAGACGCCGAAATTCGGGGCATTTTCTCAACGCGATAAAGCTTCTTCAAGGACAGCGGAGACTTTCTCGCGTCGAAACCTGACAGATGGTGGGCAAAAAATTTTTGACGCGGAAACCCCATTATGAGAAGTGATAGCGCTCTGGGCAACACCGAAGCTTCCCATCATCGGATCGAAACTTGCTTCATATCTCGACGCCGCGTATTTTCGAATGACTAGTGTTCGTAGAAAATCATGAAGTCATCACTTCACATCCTTTGTTAAACGGTGACAAACCTCTTCACAGGTGATGAAAACACACATAACTTTCGCGATCCGCCGAGAACAGAGCAAAGAAGAAATTGATGATTATACGACTCGAGAGTTGGCTCGACTCTACGCTCACGTCAGCCAACAGCCCGATACACCCACGAAGAAACTATTTCTACAGAGAGTGAGTATCCATCTAAAGCAATGTCATCAAATATTCTCTGCGATCGACCCCGACACAGCGAGCTGTCCGGAGGCAACGGCCAAAATCAATGATGAAAATTCGCTCAACTCACTAACTAAAACGAAAATGGCTCGACGGAGATCATGACGAGGTTTTAAATATGACATCCGCGCAAATCCTCGACCCTCCGAAGTTACCTAACGATTTTTCAAGCGACCGCATCGAGAGTCGTGAGGAAACACTTTGTTTACGCAGCCTCAGCCACAAAGAGGGAGGTGGGTTAGCAGTAGTCGGTGTAGGTGTCTCTTGGAAGACGAGCAGAGTTTCGGCCAGTTGTCAGCTGGGGGAGAAGTTGAGGAGCGTGAACAGGAGGAGCCACACGGAGGGGGATGTGTCATCCTTAGTGTCATTGATTTTGGACGCCCACAGCTCCCACATTATCATATCACAAAATCAGAGGCTGTTTGGCCCGGGGTGCGCTTCGAATTATGCTGCTGACTTCAACTCGTTAGAATATTTGTGCTCACTAGATTGACAAAGCGAAATCCATTTCCCCTAGGAGTTCTCCTTTTCGTTCTATTCGAGCCTCGTCGCGCTCCATCGGTTACTCTGACAAAAGATTCAGATGGTGTTTCCCGAGTCGCAGACCAACAACGGCTGTACCTATGAACACCACTCGTTTCGGAGCTAATTAGCAAATCATGTCAGTCATTCATCAAGCGCGGACCCACTGCCAATCGAGAGGACATGTTAATGTGCTGTTTGACTCATGAATGTCATCTAGCAGGGTCGGCTCAGGACCGGAATGACAAATTCTGAATTTATTCATCACATGGATCGACGAACTTCATCCTCGAAGCCTCTCGCAACAGAAGGTTGCAAGGCGCCTCTTCTGAGTCTACAGAGTGCAAATGAATGAGGACAGTCGCTCGCTCACTCGCTCAGTTTGTCAGTCAGTCAGTAACCCCCCTTTTCTCCTCTCCGGCCCGTCCCCTGTGAAGAATCATCATAACCTCAGCAAGCCTCTTTGCCTCAAAGCTAGTCGTCCCTTTGACGACAACTTAGGCGAGGAAAAAAATATCCGATAGTAGAAGACTTCCGCGTTTTTTTTGACTCTCCGACAAATACTGTTTGGTCTCACTTCGGGCCCGCTCCGGGAACGTTGGCGCTGGACCGATAATGTGATCAGACAAGAAACCGTGATGTTTGAGGCCCCATGACCGATCTCCGACATCGTTTTTGTTGGTTGCTTCTACGATGTCATTTTCGCTGTTTCTGTCACTCTACTCAAAATGACGCGGGCGATACCGATCGTCCTCCCGGCTCTGTGGTCTCAAACAACCCTTTGACGCGACGAGTTCAAAAACTATGGGAAACTTCGTTGTATCGTCACGCCCCGATGGAGTCGGATAATTTACTTCCGCATCAAAAGGGAAGGTTACGGACAAATGACAACTACCTAATCGTCGAATAGTGATGTTTCGGAGTTCCCCTCATTAGCGATGCATATCTCGGTGTATCTTTCTCCTTCCCGAATTCCACAGTTATGAACAACACCCCGCTGAGACCTCTCCCTGCCCAGTGAAACTAACGACAGCTATCCTTTCATTTCAGGTACAAAAGGCTCCGTCGATACAGCAACCTGCAACACCGAAAACTCCGATCGCAGCCAAAGCGGAAAAGCTCCTCGGTCTTGCGGACACACCGGATACGATCAAGAAGGGCCTTTTCCGAGCCTCGGTCCGGTATCCCGCCGTGCCCGTGAAGTCGCTCATCAAGGGCGGATCTGTAGATTCCTTGGTCAGCGAAATGGAGAAAGAGAACGCCTCCCCGATGCCGAAATTCTCAATTAAACGAAAAGCTGACGACGATTCCACGCCGAACAAAATCCCGCGAACTCCCTTCCTCATTCGGGCTTCGATGAGAATGAAGGCGGCTGTTCTCACTCCGACCAAGAAAACTACGACGGCAAACAACAATAATCCTCCGAAACAAGCGAGACTGGTTTAGGGAATCTCGTAGATGCTGCGTGATGTTGAGCTTGCGGCATTTCTTGTTGTATATACGATGTGTATATTTGCCTCCTCCTCCTTCTCGGCGCGAGTGAAAGCGACTTATTCATAGGAGCTCAATGTAGAAGAAGATTTACGTGTTCGGGTCGAGCAATGGTGCTGTTCTATGCCTTTGTATATAGCTTCTGTCTACGATCATGTTCTACGTATGGGTGGGTGTCACATGCAATTACGTCTCCGCATGACGGAGCGAGGGTTGTATTATCACGAGGCTATCGGAATGTCGAGTAGACCAAGCGAGAGTAATTTATCAGGCTTATCGGAAAACATTCTCACGATGCTGTTCTACTTTTCTATCCAGCTGGTTCAGTAGAAGGCTCATTATTTCCAATAAACGAACTATTCTTATTCACGCAGAATGCTAACTTATACAACAGGACCTTCGGTCCAGTCGTGAACAGCTGCCGGGGAGAGCGATATGGATGAATGAAATTATTGCTTATAGACTCGGAAACACCGCATATTTGAGACCGTCCAGATGGCCGTAGGGGGAATTTTCTCCCTTGAGCGTTGTACGGTGAGCATCTGATTAAGTTCACCGGAGAACATGTTATTCGTCACACAGCTTTTCCTGTATCCAAGAGTTCCGGCGAGCTAGAATTATGGTTTGAGTGAGTGTATGAATGTATCGTCTGCTCGACTTCTCCTTAATTCAACTAGGGCTCTTTTCTGGCTCTCCGTGCTTGGTATCGAAGCTACCATGATATTTCGGTGGAGGTAGAATCGCCAATTCGGATAACGCGGAACTTCCCGAATTTTCCTCTTCCTTGGTTCGCGTCGCATGAGGCTCCGGAGTTCGAAGGTACCAGAATCACGGAGCTATACTGGTGGGTGGCGGATATCGCCAACGTGTATTTTTCTCGAAGGAGTCCGTCCTTGCTTCGAATCGGTTGATGAGATATCGGAATATCCTTCCGAGCGCCGATGCGGAGCATGACTCCACGATGTGCATTCTCTTCGAGGGTATGACCCGACCATATTCCTGCAGTAATGCGGAGAAATCAAGCATAGAAGATCCTCTCGTCCCGTGGCGAGCTCACGTTCGCGAAGGAAAAACATGTTATTCAAGGTTCTCCCAGGGCATCGGCCCCGTCGCGATTTTCCAGCGACGCGTGCTCAATTCGGAACGAGCGGACATACGCTCCGAAACTTTAGAGGCTCAAGAATCCTGATAGGCGGGAACCGAAGTAAGCGAAGTTCGAAGTATGGTTCCGTCAACGAGTGCTGTTCCAAAGAACACTTCTGCGGCTTCTCTCGTTTGCTTTCGTGGATTCGCTCGTGTCTCGCTCACGACCGCCCGCGTGCGTCGGAATGATCCTGTTTGCTTCTCTCATTGTCAGATGCACCCGCGATGTGTCGCGGAGTCTTGTTGGAAATCCAGAGGCCCGACTTTCTTCGACTTCGGGGGTAAGGCAGCACCCGATCCAACATCAGATGTTCTGACGAATTCAGCGACAAAACTGCACGTTTGCCCCGCCGCCGTAGCGGTCGCTCGAAAAAATTCAGGTCGTAGCAGTATGCAGAACCTTGTCTCTTTATTCGAGAAATCGAACCACGGCACCCTCTGTCTCTGCTGCTGTATGAGACCCTTGACCTCATTCTCAGAGTGAATACACCATTTCTCCCGCGATCCAAGTAGACTGTATCTGGATGTCGTCGTTGACTATCACGAAATCCGCATCGGAACCTACATCCAGGGACCCCTTGTTTGCCAAACCCAGAGCCTGAAAATTCGGAAAGAAGCGTATCCTGAAGATTCAAGATCCGCTCTCTCGTTGGATGACCGAAGCAGGTTCTCGGACTGCTCTTCGGAATACTTTGTCTGCTTCTGCTGATAATATACCTGTGCAGGATGGAGCGACGCCGCTTCAAGAGCTTCCTCGATCGAGCAGCCACTCGCAGCGTGGAACTGCCTAACGCAGAAATCAAGGCTACTGACGCACCCGCACAATGTGCTAGTTCCGTCAATAGTCGCTCGCTTTCCCTCGATGACGACCTGCATATCGCCTGACATGGGAACGGATTAGGATTGAGATTCGCTGCTACCGAAGAATCTGATATTTTTAATCTCGTCGAGCAGCTTTCGATAATTTTCCGAGTCCTGGCGGATGAGATCCCACCTATGAAATGTTTGCCGTTTTCAAGTCCCATCGCGCTAATTGCGTCGGTCACGAGGACGAGGTTCTGTGGATTTATCCGGTGGGCGATACGTAATGTTTCAAAATGCGTGTGAACACCGTCAGCTATTATTCCGTAGAAGAGAGGCCTAGGCGAAACCTCCGATGTGAGCAGACCGACTACACCCGGGTCCCGATGATGGAACTGCAATGATTGAAAAAGCATCCTTCATCCTCTGCTCCGCTACTTTCCCTCTAATCGATGCCCGTCGTCGTTCATGCTTACGAGAGGCATCGCGTTGAACAAGTGTGTGATCAGGGACGCTCCGTTTGAAGCGCCAATCTCCGCATCTCTCAAGCTGGCCGTCGAGTGACCCAACGCCACGCGAACGCCTATAGCGAAGACAGGAAGGTACTAGCGAGGAGCAATATCGCTCCGAATATCGGAAAGATGAGCGACATATTATAAGCAATGTTCGGTGGAGGGTCATATACCTCGACTCGACAGATATTTGATCACTTCCCTACGAATATCCAACTCGGGAGCCAGGGTCACGATCGCCACCGATGACAGATCGTTACCGTAAACGTCCGTCAAGTCACAAACTCCATTTTCCAAGGTTCGGACGTATGATGGATTATGAGCGCCCCTCTTGTCCATGGCTATGAATGGTCCTTCAAGGTGCAGACCTTCGACGGCAGAGAGCGACCTTGTAAAACTCCAATGGAAGGCGATCGTTCCAGGAAGGAAGGATCCGATGAATTAGCAACTTGCGTTTACAACTGTTCTCGAAATTCGAAAAGGCAACCTAAAATAGCCGCTCCATGTTTCCCTCCGGTCTCCTTCCTGATCTTCTTCAAAACTTCGGGATAAACTGCGGGGTCGGAGGTGACCAGCGTGGGGCAAAAACCGATCACCCCAGAAGATAGAAGTCTCTGTGCAACTTCACGAACAGCCGACTCGATTTTTTCGCAGTCATGCGAGAAATCATAGCCGAAGCCTCCTGGTTAGAGAGGTAATGAGTACATGTAGCTTTTAACTTCCCTCTACACACCGCAACGCTCCGCGGCGAGAGCGGTCAGAATGATCCTGAGGTGAATTTCTGAGGCTAATCGCCTGGATCGCGAAGTTGAGATGCATCCTACGCGAGAGGATGTTCGACACATACCGTTTATTTGTAAGTCAATGAAACCAGGAGCGATTATTCTCCCTTTACAATCGAGCGCTATATCACACTTCCGTCTTTCCTCGTAGAATATCTGAAATGTTCTATGCGTGGGTATGGGTTCCGATGTCAGTGCGGCCCAGCGAGAGCGGTTCGATCAAGGCCGGCCGACGAGTGCGTATTTTGGTGCGCATTGCCTCATTCGACAGCTCCGCTCGACAGCGGGGCTCTCCAGAATTTTTAGGGGAAACAGATAAACATTTTTCCTGCGTCTTACCTGCATGTAATCGATGATTTTACCGTCCCGTACGTAAAGGTCGTCCCGGATGAGCTTACCATTCCGGAGCACTCGACAGTTGGTGAAGCGTGTTATCAAGGTCATATCAGGCAATGAGACGATCTGCGAGGAGCACTGTAGTCGCTACGAGGGAAACCGCGGACGAATCTTCGTCCCACGATGGGTAAGGTACCGCAAGCAGGACTTCGGAGCTTATCGAAGGATTGGCGACACCCAGCGTGTAAACGCTTGCATCTGTCAACTCGCAGATCGCTCCTCAGCTCGGAGAGGACCCCGTCGATGATCGCGAATCACGAGAGGAGGTCCGGCAAAAGGATTTAGTTTTTTCGAAACCTCTCAAAGAGTCTACCTCTTTTTCCATCCAGCTCGCTTGACAAAGGCAAATGGAAGCTCTCCAACTCTCCCTCGAGTGACGCACTCGACACGTTCGAGTCATTCAGGATGAGCGCGGCGAACCCATTATGAGCCCTACGTTTGACCTGATGTTATCCCGAGTTTCCGAGCGTAAGCACGTGATGATGTCTTGGGATCGATGATCCTGACGAAATTATTTCGAGCAATCAAGTTCTGAATGGAGGCCGGATTACCTCACGACTCTCCCTTCCTCTGAGAGCTACTTGAGTGTTGTTCAATGAAAAAAAGAAGCATAGGGGCTCTCTCCCTCGATTGCCTCACCCGAATCGCCGTGGGATGATAACTTTCGGGGCTCCATCCATCACTGCTGTGTTTTCTATGAATCATTCATATATGAGACGCTTTTTGCTGGATTATTCATCTTCGCCCGAGACAGAACTCGAGACATCTAGTACTATATTGTGGGATTCCTTAGGGCAAAATGGCAAGCTTAGCTACAGGAACTCCTCTGCGAATAACTGTACCGATTTCCGCTTTCCGGAGAGAAAAGCCCCTGGTCGGCAGTTCGGCGGCAATTCCGCTACGACTGCCACCAATGCCGCCGCCGAACGTTCGACAGGAACGAAGCGCTGTTTCCTCTAACTGAGAGAGGAAAGTTCTAGAGAAAGCATAACGATATAGCGATAAAGACTCGATGATCCCTTCCTGAGAGTTTCCTTGATACATTCGAGCGTAAGACGGTCATTGTCGACGTAGTCGACCGGTTGGGTAGCCGGCCGTGCGCCTGTTCCGCTGAAAGAACGGACCAATCGCCGAATGCCAACTGTGTTTACGGAGAATAGCAGACGACCACTCAGCTGCTGACTGCTGCTGCTGTTGATGCAGCATTCGTTTGTTGGTCTTGATTCCTCGATACACACGACCATTCCAACTCTAATAGCGAACAACGACCCGCAGTGGAAGTGATAAGCACAAGAGAGGAAAAGTGCCAAGAAGCTCGATATATCGAATTTCCGTAAGTTGGCAGCGAAATTATCTTATTGGAAATAGAACGGGAGTTTCGCTGCGGCGGTCCCTCCTCTTTCGTGTCTTTGTGTACCCTCTGTGGAAAACGGAGCACTAGGAAACGTCATCTCATAAGAATCACTGAGGATCGCCCATTTTGACGTCCGGGAACCACTTTTATCTCCCGATTCGACACCAACCAGAGAATCTGATATCGACACCGAAAATCATTCTTGGAAATGATAAGAAGTCCAGTCTATTACGAGCCGATGATGATCGTCTTGGGAAACGATCACACTCCCCGTCAGTGGAATGCTGCGGGGCCGTTGGTCGGATTCGCGGGGCTTCGAGCCCAATAATGGATATCGGATCCCTTGTTTTATCGGGAACCGGGAAAGTTTCCGTAGATCTCTCTGAGGTGTTTCGGAGCTCCTTCTCGAAACTCCTTTTCCTCTCGGTGCCGCCTCTGGCAGGTTCGGTGCAGCCACGAGAAGATCCCATCCTTTGTGCCTGCTGATTGTATGCTTGGCCGGACCGTCCAGAGTTGCCGCGAGCGACGTCCCTCTTTTGATTCTGTAAAGATGACGTATTACACATGCTTTTCTACCTTGACAACAGCTACTCACCCGGATGGTTTTAATGTCATTCCGAATCCATTAACGGTGGGGCGGAGCAGCTTTGCTCCGTCGGAAACGGCTTTGAGGGTCTCAAAATCTGAAATTCGCGATGTCCCAAAGACATGTCGCAAAGAATCACATAATATCTTCTCCTTCGCTCGTCTCGATATTATCGTGTCTGCCGGTGACTTGAGTCGACCCGATTCCTTTCTGGACTGCGATCCGCACACTCGGTCTCTCCGGAAATGAAAAACGTTCAGACTCGAATAAACATATCAGATCTCCAAACATGGCACCGTATATCTGTGACTGTGACCTCTCGGGAGTCGGGAGCGTTCTAACGCGCGCATTCTGATTGACTTCGTCACCGGATCAAGTTGGAAATCTGGCGCGATCGACTCAATCTCATGCTTGCTCCCCGATACGTTCATGCTCGCTTCGAGCCAGCTCCCCGTTTCTTGGTTTATACATTGCTTTGAAAAGCTCCCGTGAGCTGATGTCGCCCGAAACAAAATTCTTTTCTTTAAGATAACGTTGTTCAAAATCTACGCTCGTTACAGAATTTATCGAACTCCACCAGTATCAGAATGGCTGAGGCAGCCCCACCTGCGGACGGCAATTTGGTAGTGGTGGTTCGAGCTCCAAATCAGGAAACACAAGATTTCGAAGTCACGTGTCCAGAGACGTGGAACGTCCTAAGACTCAAGGAACATCTCCAAGAAAAATACCAAGGCAACCCGGTGAGATCCCTGGCTACCGATCAAATCCGATTCCGCATGAGAATCCCATCATGACCCTCATGAAGGGAGCTAGAGATGCGCGAAAGCCACGAATCGACTTCGGATTTTCTCATGGGAACGATTTATCTGATTCGTCCCTCGTCCGCAGGCTCCTGCTGATCAGAAACTAATCTACTCCGGCCAGCTCCTCGAGGATGAAGCTGTATTGCGGGAGGTACTCCGGCACGAGGGTGTTTCACCTTCGAGGCACACTGTCCACTTGGTGTGTCGATCTCCGAAAAACGCACCGGAGACCAGACGAGCTCCAAACGTCGGGGCATCGCCCAACGGTAATCGCAGCTCGCCTCAAACAAATCAAAATGAAACATTCTCCACCGAGTTCTCAAGCTACCAATCGACGTCGGTTGAGCAGCCAAACGGTAGGTTCATTCTCAGACGTTCGAGGACGTAATTATCCCTGCGATGATCTCCATTGGACGACTGATTGAGTCGGGATTGATTCGTTTTATCTCTCCGGAATCTCCAGGGATTCGCTACCGGTTTCCTCGGATCCAGTGTGACTTCGTCTCAAATTCGGTGTCTTACTCCGCGCACATCCTCGCGATGCAGCATATGTACGCGCAGTACTATCAGCACCTCCTTCTTCATCATCAAGCGGCTCTGAGTGGGAGAAGCACGCCGTCCGCGGCGAGCTATGTGTTCAATCCTCGTCGATTCACCACAGCGGCGATGGGACCCGAGCAGCTGCAATACTGGCAAAACGCCTACATTCCTCTCCTGAATCAACAAAATTTCACTCTGCCCGAAGCAAACAATGACAACAACAACAATAACCACAATTTCAACGCCAACAACAACCTCAACAACAACAATAACGCTAACAACAATAACAACAATAATATGGACGAGGTGAGCGTTTTTTCCGGGAGTTTCCTCTACCGATTCTCTTACTCCGGCAATATGTTCACTTTCGCCTCAATCGTACGGATCAATGGATACTGAAGGTGAAGGAGCTTCCAGGACGAAAACATCCGCGAATGGGACGATTACATCTACTTGGCGGCACGAATCATTTTTTTGGGGATGCTGGTATACTTCTACTCCTCGGTGGAGAAGCTCATCCTGGTATCAGGTCTCGGACTGCTCTTCTTCTTCTACCAGCAAATCCGAGCAGGATTGCAGGACCAAGCGAACGCCGTGGCGGCCAACGCCGGCAATGCGGCTGCGGCAGCGGCAAACAACCCTCCGATGGGAGGTGATCCTGCGGTGAACCAACCAGCCGCCGCACGGGATCGAGAAGGTTCGTGAAGTCATGAGTAGAGAAAGATTTGGGAAATTATGGAATGGTTCCTCACTCATGGTTTTTCCATCTCTCATGAATGAACTCCGTATTTCAATTTCGGTCTGGCCGCTCATAGTTTTGATCTTGACTCGACAATTTTTTCCCACAGATATCGATAGACTCCAAGCAGCGATGGACGGAGAAAACGCCCCACCGCCAGCGGCTGGTGCAACGACCGGGGCCACAGGCGCAGTCGCTGTTGCACAACAAAGTCCGGTTGCCGCTGCCGCGAACTTACTCAGAGCCTTCTTTGTTAGTTTGATCCCTTGAGAGAGAGGATTGAGTTGCGAGCTCGGGGCCGAGATTCATTCAGAGGACGAGCGTCGTTGGAGTGATTCAGACATGGAGCTCCCGTCGAGAGTCTCCAGGTATCGACAGCAGGTCGGACGGATCGGATTCAAGAGATCCTGCGGGCTGGCAACCGATGTGCTGTTTGAGCTTTCCGAGTACGGGAATGAGCGAGGGTGTCCCCTCCGATCGTCATCGACGAGCTCACCGATGGAAATCTAACCACGAGAGTCAGGATCTGTCAAAACATATGTAATAGGTTGATGATAACTTAAGATTCGCTGTATATCTAGTCCTCTCGAGCGACGAGAGATACCGACTTGTGATACTGTCGCTAGGTAGCTGAATAATCGTGCTGGGAGCGAACTGCAACTCGGAAAATAATACAAGCATAATTTTATATACGTATCTCATTCGACATCGCGCTGAGCTTCCCGAGATTTGCCGTCGTTTGTACATCAACCATGGGCTGGAGGAGAACAACAAATAATGTCTACGCTAAGAACCCTGCATTCTGAAAGCGTTCTCTGCTGTCACTTACAAGACGAAGAAATGTGCCGTGTTATCGCTCCACATGTCCATTTCTCTCTATCGCTTTCACGGAACTTTCGAACCCCTCGCTCGGGGATCTGTTCCCCTGGAACCGAGGCAGGCTCCAGCAGGAAGAGCCTTAACTCTAAGCGGAGGGCTGGGACGAGGAGCGAGGGGAGAGGGAGCTCGTCGCGGAAACCATTTGGAGTCTAGACGTCTAGACACAAACCCCCAAATGAAACAAATTAACATTATTGTACAAAGTCTCGCATGCACGGTCGAGAAGTTCCTGAAAACGACTGAGGTGATCGCTGTCCCAATAGAAACTCGCTTCTTGATCCAGACTCGTGTGTTTGTTGCGTAGTGTTGGTGATTGAGGATGATAACAGAAACTACAATGAGAAGAATAAATTATGCCGCACAGTTACGGAGAACGAGACATCTTCCATGAAAATAGTTTGAGCCCGAACCGGTCCGGCCAGCTCAATCCCCATCGAGCGCAATGGAAAATAATCGCGCGAGGCAGAACCTTTAACCCGAAAATTAGGGGACGAAGATTTGTCCGGTCGACCGGAGTCGTGTTCCGGAAGTCATGCTCTGAGCACGCCTCGAAGGCTGTCAGTCCTTCTCTGATTCGATCTCGGTGATGAATCGGGAAGCTTTCCATAGCTTACAACTACTTCGACTTGTATGCTTTTGAGTCCAACTGATTGTGAGAGTCGAGAGATCTCTCTTTTGTTGTGAGGGATCCCTCAAACACGAGCATGGGCAATTTCCGATGCTTTCCCTCGGCATGGCGCGGCGCCGCTCGAGCCTTCGAGGAAGATATCGTGGCCGTCATGAGGAGATCTCTCCAATCATTTTGATTCTCATGCGTAAGTCCTGTGGGAAGTATGCCTCTCATCTGCGGTATGATGTCAACCTAGACGATATCCACGGTGCATTCGATCTCCGATCTCTATCTTTGTGGAAATTTCCCACCACCTCTCGTGGAACCCTCTGTTCCGGATGAGAGATAGGAGAGATCCTTGCCTACGGCGGACTAGCGGGGCGATAGCGGCCGAGCAGCTCGGCTCTTCTCGAAGTCCTGGATATTCCTCCGCGTGGGTCTAGAATGATTGTTTCATCCTGAAACTGGTCTCCGATCGGCTTTCCTGTTCATAGAAATCAAGCCGCCCGATCGTGGTCATTTTCCCCGTCTCACGTCCCGGGGGTTCCAATACACCGGTGATCCCGGAAGCTTTCTCCCCAGACCCATTGTTTCCCTGAAGAAATGCCCCCGTGCCCTATCGAAAAGCTGAATTTCTAGCGAGCCTTGATCAGCCTTGTAAATCCGATTGAAACACGATCAAGACAGGCTTCCCCCGAGAATATTCTAACTATACAACTTTCGTTCGCCATTGGAGCGCCAAACTTCTTGCACACGCAACCAGTGACAGACACGAGCGGAATAAGAGTCATAATTTTTCCGAACAGAGACCAGGGCTCAGTGGACCGCTTTTTCTTGCTTCGTGGTATTCAGTCGGCCCTCCTGACAGTCAATGAATGTGCCCATGTTACTGCAGCCTCCCTTCACCAGATACGTACTGAATGAACTGGAGGAGCACTCGAAGCATATCCCTACCCCATCACGCCGTCCGCCCGAAATTATCTGTATCTGTCGTCTCGCCCGCTCTGTTTCGGAATTCTACGGATGGTATCACAGCATTCTCACTTCTCGTTCTACTAGACTGAAATTCTGCGATGTCGTCGTGGCTCTCCGAAAGCTCGGGGAGGACTCGGGTCGAAGAAAAAGGGAAGGAATGACTTAATTTCGAGCGACGGAATTACTTTATGTGACCGAGAGAGCTCCTCGGCTGTAGCTTCATAATCAAGGAATCGCCCGCGACTCACTCACCAGGGAACCTGGGGGGTACAGGAATCTGGGGTCTCTCAGAGGAGGTTTACAGATTCTGCAGTTACAATCAAACTAGAAACCTATCAAACTAGAAATCAAAACCAGCCAAGGCGGTAGAAGTTTGACGGTGGAACGATGTCCGGAGGGCTGAGACCCCGATCATGATCGCGGTGAATCGGTAGGGTCTGGAGCAACAGCGGAAAAGGAATGTGGTTTCTCGCAAGGAGAGCTGGGACTCGCTGGTAATCGATTGAGCTTGCGGCGTTTGGTACAACTGGTTTAGGAAGATTCGTTTCCTCGATTTTCCTGTCCACTGAAGCGACTGAAACGTGCTCGTGAGTCTGAGTCAGAGCAGGATAAATCAAGGTCTGAGGAAGCGGCACGTGCTCGTGAGCCCCGGAATGAGAGTTTGCGGTGAATCTCCTAGGGTTAGGGAGGACTATTGGAATTTCACGAGCTAGGGTGAGCTTGTAGACATGAGGAGTCACTGAGTACTCCCGTACAGGGGCGGAGGAGACGAAGTACACCCGAGGACTTGAGGTTCTTGAGGGGCCCAGCTGCGTTGTGATGAGCTCGTTGAAAGAGGACGAGATCGTGGGGGGAGATGCCAGGACCCCATATTTCGGACCCTCCGCGAGCGGCTGCGGAACGGGAACTTCGAGGAATGATCCGGATGATTTATACCCGTCTTTGGGAGGAGATCCGAGGGTCTTTATGATGATCCGTCCTCCTTGATCAATCGTGCGGACTTTGTGTATCGTTTGCACTAGCTGAGTCGGCCCACTGACTGTCAAAGAGGAGCCTGCTTTCACCACAGGCACCCGGGTGATGATCCGGAGTTCTTTCCTATTCGGAGTTCGGTTCTGAGGGCTCACGACGACAGGAGGGAGGGCTGAGGCTTCCACTGGCCACTTACTGAGCAAGCCGGGTGATTCCAAAATGCCCGCCCGAACGTGAGCGAGGATCCCGGCTAGGAGAACCTAAGCGAAATGAACAAATCGTTATTCAACGTTCACTCCTCGACACAGAGACCGTTTTTCAGAAGCTCGACCACCTCGTCGGACGCTTTCGAAGACTTACGGAGGTCCGCATGCTGCTGGAGAGAAAAATGTGAGCTGATGGGCTTACGATCGGGAGTCACACCTTTTATTCAGCTGCCCGTCTTTCCGAATTATTCGACGATTGGTTCTTACCTCAATAGAATAATGTATACCTCAAGGATCACAATTGATCGGAAGGCATTTAATGAAGCAAAATTCGCAATTCCGAATCGATAGCTGATCAAGAGACCCTTCTTCTTGCATCCGAGCTGATGATCGACTCAGTCAACACAGCGTTCGTGGTCGGTGCGAGCCAGCTATCCTGAAGTTTGTCCCTCCGAGAGCTATCGCGTCAATCGAAGATTGGATTCATGAGCTCAAGCTTGGCAGGGAAGATGAGAGCCGTTCGCTATTCTATCTGACCCACCGAGTTCAAGAGACGGTGACGTTCCACAAGCTCCTTCGATGGCACCTCCTGGTCTCGACGATGCTAGCGCATTGGATCGTGACTGTGGTGATACGAGTACAAGTGAAGAGTGCAAGAGCGATAGGTCTGCGGAGACGAGCGTGTATGGAAGACACAAGGTTACCCTACGCAATCGCAAGACTCGGGAGACTCATGTTGGGTAGGCTCAAAATCGCAACGGAAAAACCTGGGAATGATTGAAGCTCTCCGATTCTGAGAACTTTTGCTACTGGCGGGGATGTCGTTCCGAACCAATTTTTCCCCATTCAAAAATGCGTGGAGCGATAAAGCCTGTCCCTGGGTGAACTAATGACCCGACTTAGTCAGCTCTTAATATTCGCAACGGGTTCACTTGACATAAAGGGAAATTTTGGAAAGCTCGTGGCCGGAGCTCCTTCGAGCGATCCGTGGAACCGCAGAGTCTTCTGTTGAGCTATAAGGCGGACTGGTGTGAGCTTTGGGGCCGCTCAATCGGAGTAGGATTCGTTGTCTCAAATCTCAATGTCCGTCATCGTGCACCGACCTTCATGCAAGATTTTCGGTAGCGGAGCCTGACGAAATAATGGGAGGAAACGTCGAGGCCGTAATCTCCAGAATGGTCATTTCAGAGGTGATATAGATCGACACAGAGGATACGATAGAGAGACATAGAAAATGTGAATGAGAGCTCCGATTACTGTCGAAAGCTGACATTTCGCGCACTCTGCTGCGAAATGGGAGGAGTCAGACTAGTGAGACTATCCTAATAAGTACGTTCGGAGCTTGAGCCTCTTCCGTTCGAAGTCGCGATCCTGTACCGATAGCGCTCAGCTTTACCGAGCTAATTGTCACGCTGATTGGCTCGACGCAGACGAAAATATTCCGATGAGACGCACATTCATTTGTTGCGCTTGCGAAACTTCCGCTGTAATGATGCTCGGACCACGACTCTCATTGGCATCGCGATTCACTTGGATCCTTGGACGAGAGAGAGAGAGAGAGAGAGCCATTCCCCGACAAAGATGCGAGAGCCACTCGGTGCGACCCTCTGATACATATTTTCCGAGGAAGAGAACGGGAGTGTTTTCCGAGGTATATTGTATTTAATAAAAAAAACTCTCATTCAATGATTGGGTACAATGATTGGTTGCCTACTTGTGCCGTACGATCATACCTATCAGTTTGAAATAGAGCATCTAGAACGAAACATCTCCGGGTAGGTATTTGTCGATGAGGCCTTGGTAGTAGGGAACAAGCTTCTCGATGTCAGGAACGGTCTCTGATTTAGTGTACAAGTCGAACTTATTGAATTCTTGAACCCATTTGAGCATCTCGCGATCTTTGCTGTTGCATAAGTGATCGTAGTCACCACCTGAGGAAATTCGCAACAGTCAGACATGTTGGTGCTCGTTTGAGGACCATTTGGCGTATGACGAAGTCGAATGAATGAAGGTACCCACCGGTGTGCCATGGGTAGAATGAGTGGAATCTGATAACATAAAACGCCTCCTCAGGCAAAGTGCATCCAGGGTGATTTTTCAGGACCATATGCAAGTACTCGTCATGGCCCCAGGACATCAGCACGTTCTCGAGTCCGCAATGACGTTCATACATGCCGGTAGGTGTCGAGTACCTGCAAGGATCGATCATTATTCGTTGATATTCCAGGGAAGCTTGCGGTCTCTAATCGCCCGATTTCGTGACTTCACGGTCAAGTCCAGCCATCTTTGCGAACGCTTACTCCTCTTTCTCGTTGTCTGGGTTCAGAACGAACGTGAAGTCACGGTACACGATCGATTTCGCGAATTGACACCCCACCGGGAATGTGTCGCCGACTACGGCCCATTGCGGCTCGTTGAAGAAAGCCATCACTTTTCCTGTGGGGAAACATTGGATGAGAACTGTCACTAGCGCTTGGCAACCAGCGAATCGATCTTTCCATCGAGTCACGCGGGCTGATTGGGAGCGAAGACTCACCTAGATCGTGTATGAGACCTGTCAGATGGAACCAGTCCTGGTCAGGGTGTTTCGCACGGATTTCTTCAGCAGTTTGGAAAGCGTGGACAATGTTTGGCATGTCGACGTCAGGATCCGATTCATCGATGAGGTCGTTGAGCTTCTCGAGGGCTGCCATGATAGGCATTCGGATCTGTCAACCGACCCCAGGCGTTAGTCAAGGGCTATCTCCTCGCGAAAAGAGCGTGATATCGGAGATATCTACAGAGACTCACTTTGTCGAACGCTCCGTATTGTTTGCGCTTCCCTTGCACGAAGTCCACTGTTTGGTAGGTATGCATCTTCAGATAGGTCTCGAAAACTCTCCTCTGAATGGGATCGTCCTGAAACCGGAAACAATGACTTCCATAATCGATGGAACTCTCCTGGCTCCGCGGAAGTTCCACGAATGCGTCGAAATACCTCGGGGAATTTAAGGAGCGAGGCTTACAGGGTTGATGGTGTAGTTACGGAACTTCTGAGAAGCATCTTCGGGCCGGTATTCCAAGGAGGGGTCGATGTGGTAGATCACTTGCCGGTCGAGCTCTGTTGCCGACATCCTGAAGTTCCGAAATTCAAAACCAGGTCAGCTGAGCCCAAAGAGTTTCGAGTCTCCCGTCTGAGCCGTGAACGACCTCACTCACCTGCGAAGGCGTGGAGATGATTGGGTCGATCAGTGGGGAACACGGAAAGTTTGACAGGAGCGACTCGCTTCGGGCTTTTTAAGAACACGCGCTCTCATTAGAGGAGGCAAGGGCGTTTGGAGAGGATTTCGAGAAGGCCGTCCATTTCTGCGTGCATTAAGCCATGTTTTCGATCGCGCCGAACACAATCAGATGAATAATCTGATACAATCTGCCAGAGATAAGCGCTTGATGACGTATCGTTGGCGCCTAGCTGGGGAAGACCACTGCAGGCGTGCAAGGTCTTGGCGCCGAAGTACGGCACTGGTTAAGATATCTCTCCAAGGCGCGTATGAAGAGATCTCTTATGGAGGCGATCATCAGTCCAAAACGGCCGGTAGATGCCGAACAGGCTTCGGCCGAGATGATGGAACGAACTGATCGCAGTCAGCCAAGAGATCTCTCGAAGCTGAAGAGATCTCTTCACCAATCTCCGACTCCGATTCCAATGTCCAGTGGGAGGAAACGGATCCTCACCGAGAGAGCCATCTCTTGAGCGAATCGCAGTCGCGTCGGCAAGCAATCATCCGAGAGGGAGAAGCTATCATCTGAACTATACGCGGAAGAAACCTGAGAACATGAGCGGAACCACGGCGCTGATAGCTCCACAATGTTCCGTTGTTACAGTTTTTCGAATTCGGGACGCTGATATTCGGGGGTCTTCACGCCCGAGAGTCGACAGCTGAATCGAAATCGGGACTCATCACACGATACTCTCCGCTCGGGCGGTACGATCCCGACTCTCTCGTTTTCCCAGATGGTCACCCGCAGGTTTGATGGCCCGCGGAGTTTAGCAGCATCAGACTTCGCGAATACTTGTTTAATTCTGCACGCTATTTTAGAAAACTCGTCAGGAGCAGGTGATTCGTGCTGCGGGGGCCTCGAGATCCCGAGCCTGAAACGTCTTATCAGTCTGCGCAGACATTCACGTGAAAACCGGAGACTCTTTAGTGAAGAACATATCGTGGTTCGCGCATGCTCGGAATTTCTCAAAAGATCCATAACAGAGTCTCCTCGGAGCTTGTTGTCAAGTGACCTCGTTGTTCAGGTTCCAATTCTTTGGCTGGATTCTCTCGGTTCGAAGTTCTACGTTATCTAGAATCGCAATATTTTTCAAACCCGCAAGTCTTGTCCTGTACCCTGAAGTTCTGTGTATAACGATCCTCATGTATAAGGAACCTACCGTATAACGACCCCGCGTATGAGGAACCTTCCGTATAGAGAACCTCGCTTATAGTGAACGATCGTCGATTTCCAGCCTTTGCAATCTAGAAACCGAAGACTTAGAGGTCGCTTTATCGAGCACAGTCGAGGATAAATCCGCCAAGGTGCTCATATAGTTGAGGTTCACCGCTTTCACACATTCTATACGTTATAAGAAAGGTTCGTTATACGGGAGGTTCGTTAAACGGAAAGTTCTTTGTACGGGAGGTTCGTTACACGCGGGGTTCGCCACACGGGAGGTTCGTTATACGCGGAACTTTTCTCCGCAATCAAGGCTTCGTTATACGCGGAACTTTTCTCCGCGATCAAGGCTTCGTTACACGCGGAACTCTACGGTACTTGATAGGTTTTCCGTATGGATTCACGATCGAGGTGGCGGATCCTGGACGAATTGGTGGGGCGGGGGGGGGGGCACACATTCGCCCCTCCTTTATTTGAAGAGACTAGGCGTCTGTGAGTCAAATCATTCGAGAGGTCAAGGCTGGAGAAGGCACAACTCCTGAACGCGACGAGCCATTTGTTCCCCCCGGGTAATTTTCCGTATCTCCGATATAGGGGAATCTTAGCGGATATTCTTGCATCAGTGTCTTCTTCCCTTCAGCGACATACTGTGATGCAGATATCGGAAATCGACTGACGTCTGGCTCAAAAGTATACAAAATTTGAACAAGTCGACCGGCTCGGAAGCCGTGGAGCAGAAATAAGGCGCGCAGTTCCGCGCCGCGGACTGTCAACAATGTATCTCTGTTGTCTTTCCACTGGCCGATGCATCCGAATAGGATTCCAAAAATCTTTCAATACAGATTTGGAGACCTCGGGACGCCGCATTACTTGGCGAGAATCGCATATAAACCGATATGCTCGTGGAAATTGTGCGCATGTAGTTTTCCAAGTGCGTGCATCGAGTTATCGATGGTGACATTGCCGAAGGCAGGAAAAGATGAGATCTGATAGCGTTACACTACGATAGAATCGGGCCCCGAATCAAGATAAGGATAGCCGTGAAAGACGAACTTAGAGAATACGCATGTTGATTGGTGGAAGAGAAGGGCTGTCCCCGATGCTGACTCCACGAAACGTACCCGTGCATCGAAGTGAAACACTCCGAGACGATTGATGAAATAATGGAACCTCCGATGCCGCCCATATCACCCAGATTTGACCCACGAAAGCATGAATTCCCCTGACTCCCTGTGCTCGAAATCCTCAGGATGGGAGCGGGGATGAGCTCCGAAATCAGAGCTGAACTCCGGGGTTCTGAACGCGGCGGTGAGCGATCCATCATCCTAGATCCGGCGATCCCCGGCGTGTGCATCCGTCATTCGGGGGCTGAATGTGCGAATTGTGGTGTCCATGGGTCCTTCCGTATGGGGACGATTCCACTAAACGAGCTTCTGACGTCCAGATGACGACTCGAGAATTTGTGCGTAGTCTGTTTCCACCTATCAGACTCGTAGGGTGGAGAAATAATTCCCGCTTCGTGCGAAGGTTCGGCGCGACCAAATGCAACCATTGTGGAGTCGCAAATCAGAAGAAAAGGAAGATTTCACCAGGGATATTGATTACGATCTGAAGATGAATCGAACTGACAGCAGAGGCTCGAATTCTGGGGATGAGAAAGAGCTGCCGATGAGTTTCTTGGAAGGAAGGCTTTATAATTGAGCTCCGTTGCCCGATATCGCGGAGGATGGTCATGGCGCATCTACTCTGGTGATCTTGAACGAGTTGCGTGGCTGATACGAGAACAGCTCAAGTTTCGAGGACCTTGTCTCTACGAAGCTTTGCTCACCGAATTTGCAAACTGGGTCTGTATAGCTCATTCGTTGGTAGATAACGGGTACAATGTTCAAAGATGCGGAGAAGTTAAGAGCGGGATCAGAAACTCTAGGATGAGACACAGATCCTAAAATGTAGCCGCCTTCTACAACGACTCCTCTATACCTCTTCCCATCGCCGACTTCTTATCTTTTCAAAGAGACCCAGCACAAACCGCAGCTCGATGAGGCCCATATTCATTGATTGATCAGTAATCAGTAATTTAATATGTTGATGACATTGATGATTAGGTATAACCGTATAACCATATGACTTGGTCGAAATCAAAACGTCGATCACATGCAGATTTACAAGGAGCCCCCTGAGCTGGCTAGGATGATTTCGAGTCTATCGGAGAGCCTTGAGAATTGCCTCATTCAGCTTCGCTGAGCTAACGAGAGCCGTGAAGCGATGTTTTCGTATCGCGGCAAGAGAAATCGCGGGATGGAGCCGATGAATGGTGATTGGGGTCTCGATTCCTCTTCAATCGGGTCGATCCTACCTGTTTTAAGTCGATGTCCGTGGTCAACGACACTGAGGGATCTTCTCAATATGTACTCCGTGCAGGTTCTGGAGAACAGATGGCTCACGTCGAGCGTGGATTGGTATTTTAGAGCTTTGATTGTACTGGCGCGATTTCCTCCGGGCAACTTGAGCTTCACACGTCTCGCTGAGTTTCTGCTCAGCACGACGAGTTAATAGATAGGTTGGTACCCCGTGAACCGGATGCCACGGAGGCCGATTGTGTTCTCGACGCATAATCGGACTGCCTGGATCATCGGACCGATTTTCAAGGCACCGCGCGTTGTCGGATTGGATAGCTTCCAGTGAACATCATGAACCACGAGTGACATCCTGCGACTGTGGAGACGAGAACGATTCTATCCATCAGACAACGAGAGACACCACGCAGATTAGTTGATTGTGTTGTCGGCTATAGAGGGGATGGATATCGATAAACCTATTTTGAAAGGAGCGCTGGGAATCACCCATCTCCTCATGCCGACGAGAAGACTCATCATCCTGCCCTCAGCTGTCTGTATATTCATCCGATCAATTTTTTTCTTGCAGCGAGAGGCCTTAAATATTATTTTATTAATCGGATTCGAAAACGGCCTGATTCCGAAAGCCCGGGCGCGCAGTGACCATATCGCCGTTATATGCTTTGATTCTACGTAAATTTTTCTCATATGTACAAAGGAGAACTATTATTAGCCTCGACCCTCAAGGGCACAGCTCTTGACACTCCGCTCGATCGCCTCGATATCGACGCTCTCCGGTGACGAAGTGCTACACATGTATGACCTGACGCGTTCCGAGACAGAAAACTGGAGAGACTATAATCTAGAAGGCGACGTCGCCGGGTACGTATTTGTCAATGAGCTTCTGATAATAGGGCATCAACTCATCGATGTCTGGAACGTTCTCCGATTTCGTGTACAGATCGAACTTGTTAAACTCCTGTACCCATTTCATCATCTTTCGATCTTTGTCGTTGCATAGATAATCGTAGTCCCCAGCTGGAAATAAAATAACAATGAGAACCATGAATAACACGAAAACCATGACTCGATCTATCGCTTATTGGAGTCCACGGCAGCTCCCTGTGCAGCATCCGGGAATCCTCCCTCAATTGATCTTGGACTCACCAGTGTGCCACGGGTAGAATGAGTGGAACCTGATGACGTAGAAAGCTTCTTCTGGCAACGTGCACCCAGGATGGTTCTTGAGCACCATGTGCATATATTCGTCATGACCCCACGACATGAGCACATTCTCCAAACCACAGTGTCTGTAGTACATGCCCAATGGTGTGGATAACCTGCAATCGGGGAGAAAAATCTCTTACAGTAGGAAACTTGGAGCTCCCCCTGGCATTAGATGAGCGAACCTCAAATCAGATACATACAGGGAAGGTCGCTCATTCATGAGGGTTTCTTCCGTCTGTAACTTACTTTTCATTCTCACAGTCTGGGTTCAGAATGAAGGTGAAGTCCCGGTAAACGATAGATTTGGCGAATCGACAACCTACTGGGAATGTGTCGCCTACGACAGCCCATTGTGGCTCATTGAAGAAAGCCATAACTTTTCCTGGAATCGGATGGGAGTTTTTGGAGAATCTTCCTTTAGAAACCTAGAAGACCCTCTACGGGAAACATTCTTGCGCTCGAAGGGCGAACGTCTGCTCACCTAAATCATGGATGAGACCAGTTAGATGGAACCAGTCTTGGTCGGGATGCTTCGCGCGGATTTCCTCTGCCGTTTGGAAAGCATGGACTATGTTCGGCATGTCGACGTCCGGATCGGACTCGTCAATAAGATCGTTTAGTTTCTCTAAGGCCGCCATGATGGGCATTCGGATCTGTGATCGGAAAAACGAGCGTTTGGAATCTATAGCTCGGATGGAGATACGACGCGAAAGCGCTCGAACATGGGAATTGCTCTGGGATCGGAAGAGTCCTGAAACATTCACGATGCACGATATCACATTCATGAGGTACACAGGAACGGAAAGATCACCTTGTTGAAAGAACCGTATTGCTGGCGTTTCTTCTGCACGAAGTCGACGGTTTGATAAGTGTGCATCTTTAGATATGTTTCAAAGACCCTCTTCTGGATCGGATCTTCCTGGAAAAGAGGCCATTCGGATCTGCCTTCGCTCCCATCGAATATCGGATAGTCAGATTCGAACTCTATGTGCCGAATACTCACAGCGTCGATGGTGTATTTGCGATATGCTGTCGGATTGAGATCGGGTCTGTACTGGAGCGATGGGTCGATATGGTAGAGCAGTTGCTGCTCCATCTCTTTGGGGATCGTCATCCTAGGAACGGATTAAACTTTATGGACACCCAGACACGAAGAAATAGGATGCTTACGAGCAGTAGACATTTCATTACCTTAGTGTTGATGGATCGGTAGAGCTACCAGAGGAATCGAGGTTGCCGTCGGTTCCCCGAGTTGGTCCTCTCAGCACCGGTGGAATCAAAGCCTGAATAATGCTTTTATTGGTCCTGTAGAGGAGGAGGAGGCCGGGAAAGGATTGAAGCGAGCGAAACTCTAGAGAAAGATCATTGTCTCCAAACTGAATGAGATTCGAAAGTGGCCGAGAGAGACGTCACGCGAAAATGCCATCACGGGGAATCTCTTTCTCAAAGACACGTGAAGAGAACCTGATGCCGGTGATACTCCAACAGCGTTCTTCTCCGAGCCGACTGTCCCGCTGGCCGAGGGAGCGTCTGAGGGAGCCCTCATGGCTGATATTCCCGCAAATCGACTGGGTCTTTACTCGATAATCCTTTTATTCGTAAACTCAACGCTTGACACGACGGTTTCGAGCGATAATTGAATATTCCCGTGGTTCAGAGCTTTTCTAGCTTGATAGAAGCCCAGTCGTCCCATATCGTTTCCGAGCTGCCCGCCCTTCTGATACAATCGAAATTATCGAAGTTCAAATGCAGGAAAGGGTTCATGGAAATTCAAGCCACGGTTGGAGTCATTCCTCGTATTCAGCCCTACACGTGAACGCAGTGTCCAACATGGGCCCGTGACTGACAGATTGACGTCCGTGAAGGCGCTCGGGGTGCGGAGCATCAAACATTGGATCGCATCTTTCAACGTTTTGAAGCAAAACTTTATGCTTGAAGAGCGTATCGAGTAGGGGCTTCTGTGGGACAGCGCAAGCTTTTGTTCAAAGTGCAACGTCGCGCTTTCAAGCTTTTCCGATCCGACTACCGTCACCTCCGACACTGCTCTACAATCGATCCCCATAGAGCCGGGAATCTGGGAGCTCAGGGAGCATCTGGGAGCGGTCTTCCTCTTGGTTATCACCACTCTATTAGACTTCGAAGGATCGGCTCATCTTCTGATCCCGCGAAGCGTACGGCTACCCAAATGGCACGAGGATTCGACGGACGGAACGAGAAGGCTCCCACGTCCCGACTCTACTCATCATCACCTTGGAAATACCAGTATGCCAAGAAATCGAAAGAAAAGGGGGCGTCGCGTTCTTACGAGCTCGCTTCACCATGGCCTCTGTACATTTGCATCACGGCACCGGACGCGTCTGGCGACCGCTTGGCGGACCTTCTCCCGCTATCGTCTCCCTGAGCTCTCGAATATCGCTTGAATCATCCCTTGTCTCTGACATGTATCGAGTATAGCGACCAGAGATGTAAACTCGCTTCAGAGCACCCTCTGCTACCTCACTGCTCCGTCAGTAGGGTAGGCTAGAGAATTTATTTTAAGTTTTCCTCAGCTCGGGGGAATTCGCCGTTAAATCGAACAATCCGATCGATCGATATTGGGAGAGAAAACAGACTACCGTTGAGCTTTGACTCAGCATGGATGCAATTCCACGGCCACTTTCACGCGTCACCACCACATGGCAGCTCGTTGATTGAAGTCGCGGGACTGAAAAATCTTATCGAGTCTAATCTCGCGCGGTGGACTTCAAATGGCGTGCCTTGAACCTTTCTCCCAAGAATGTGCGCTGTTTCGATATTGGGATTTCAGAACGGCGTCGATGTCTCGGACATCGGTAACATCGGTTAGGGAGGAGTTCTAGAGAACCATCTCAAAAACTGATTTGCTCTTCCACCTGTTACGTTCAGAGCACGAAGGACATTTCACCCGGTCCCGTCGCCGATCCCGTGCCACTGATTGCGGGCATCTGCGCTACTATCTCGGCATGAGGCACCGTACCGGGCACCGCCAGAACGACGCCTTGTGCAACCCGAGGAGGAGGAAAACATGGACCGTCGAAACGAAGCATTTACGTTGACCGCTAGCATCGATATCATTATCATCCGTTCCATGAAAAATCGTCGTTCGTGCCATCCGGAGAGAGGAGACGTTACTTGTTCTCTGTCCTCTCGATTAGGTTCTTGTCCTGTTCCAATGCTCACTGGGGGAGCTTCGACTAAAAAGACTCCCGGGACTTCGATCAAAATCGGGTTTATGAAGAACTCGTCTGCGCTATACGTTATATAGATGAATCTGAATTGTGAGCTCTTCAGTTGTTTCTGGATCTCCTGAATTGGTAGCCGATCATGATTCATGATGTGAGAGCTCGGTTCGATCGACACTCTTGTCCCCTTAGAATGTTGCAAATTCGCGCGAAGAATCTCAGGTTGGGAGGAGACGAGGCGAGTGATCCCCGATGACTTTCGCAAACAGACGCTGCTCCGTTCCAGAAGGGGAATTCGATGTCTTTCGTGCAGATGCCGACGGGATCGGGGTCCGGACCGAGGAGACTTTTCCAGCCGTATCGGTTAGAAGTGCTGAAAGATTGTCATGAAGACGATCGGAGAAGTTCGGAAACCATTCTGAAACCCCATGATGCGGAACTCTCAGCGGTCGTCTTTCCAATAAAATGCCTCTCGATGGGTCGAACACGACACGATTAGGCCCGCCGCAAGCATGAGGAGACGAGATTGACGCCCGTCCATCTCCTTCGTCATTGCCCAGACGCCCCCAATCGGATGAATATTCATCAAGTTTAAGCTTGACCGAGACTGCCCATCGATGAATTTTGACGATGACCGAATCGTGCACGGATTAACCTAGGACCCTGATAAATTCAATTTTCAACCCATGAACTTTTGTTACTAATTCGTCGTCCTCACGATCGGCGCGAGATCCTGATGGTGACGGTCGTACTCATTGACAACTCCTACCCCGTCCGAGGGTACTCGATAACGTCTTAGATGGAGCCCGTGGTTTCAAGCATTCATAATTTTTTCAATACTTATTGATCCTTGATTAATATTTTTCCTCTAATTTTCTATCTGCTTCCTTCTCGTTGTAAGGAGAAAAAATATATCAGTGAATGAATAATAATTAATGAAGATGTTATAAATGCTTGAAACCACGGGCTCTCGTTACAAATATTCGACGAAGGTTGGCAATGGATGCCTTCTAATTTTTAGAGACAGCGAGCGACTCGATAGTACACGAAGCTCAGAAGCCGGTCTCTCTAGCTAGAGACTTCAGCGGTCACCGCGTTACGAACGGTCGATGCTCATCCCTCTAACTCAGATCAGCGAGGGGCTATGATTTCCGACTCGAATATTTTAAACACAATCACACTTCCTCTCTGACAAACCTCTGATCCAGCTCACACAATACTGTCCGGGGAATCGAAAATCGCGATCACTTCAGTAATTCTGCTGGATCATGTGTCACTGCTCGAGGATCAATGAAAACCCACGGAACCGATGCGAGTTTCTCACCACCGCGCTTTTCTCTTCATTGAAGAGCTGGACTTGCAACCTCGTCAGATCCGAAGTCAATCAGAAGAGAGAACCATGATCCAGATTATCCGAAACGATTGCCTGTCAGAGAAATGAAGGGGGGCGTGCCATTGGACGACAAAAACGGTTTCCATGAATCGGTAAGACGACACGATGCTCCAGGGAATCGATAATTTTCTGCTCGTCATGCAGGTGTCTGTTGCGAAAGTTTTCGTTGCGATTGAATATCAGCATCCAAAGTCCCGGAATTCAGTCCTCTCTGACCATCGGAGCTCCGGAGCGCTGAGGGCCGATTGAGCACTTCCATGCGAGATTTCCCCGTGGTGGTATTTTCCGTCGAGTATCGATCCATAAGCTTCTTACACGTTCCGGTCGGAGGGAGAGGTTGGAAGACGCCTCGTCGGCGGAGTAAGATGTCTTGTCGTCAGGAAATTGAAATCATGAATTCCTGGGTCGTCTCCAGGCAGCAATTCCACTCCTCCGCCCTAAGGGACTGCTCTTCGTGTCCATTCGAGGCAGAGTATCCAAGCTGAAAGAGTCTAGACTCGCAGGCGCTGATGCCTTGGATGTACAGATTAGCCTTGGACCTTGATTAAGACGATCTGTAAAATGATACTGGAATCTTTCCAGGGAGGTCCTCCTCGCCTCTTCCCTCAGCTATTGCCTTAACGGTGCCTGTACCCTCCGGCACCACAAGCTGTCATCCCTAGCTCCCGACGCGCGTCGGTACCTACCCTCTCGCAGCGCCTGCTTCCGAACTGCTTGAGACGAAATCGGGCGATGCATCTCGGTCTAGCCCTTGAAGCTCACTATCTCTGACCAAACGGTCAGCGATGATGAACCCTCGAGTCTGTCCGGATCACGTAGGCGGATCAAGCTCCAATGCTTTTCTCATATTTTCGAGCCTCTTCTTCAAACTTCAGGCATTCCGTCTAGGCATCCCATGGAGGTCGCGCTGTCGATGGAGGACCGAAAAATAGCCGGTTCCCGTTGAGCAGCGTCCAATCCATGCGCCCAGAGAGTCGTGAAACGAAGAGTTTTCCCCGACATGAGAGAGAATGGGAAACTCCATCGAGCCCGATTTCCGTGATTCCTCAGTCGAGGATAAATTATTGTGAGAATCATCATCTTCCATTCCTCTCGTCCCAATCTTCGGGATCAATGAATGGCTTCATTCTCCCGGTCTCCATCCGTCATTATCAACGAGCAAAAACTGTATGGATGCTCACAAAGCTCGGCGGACCTCTCGTAGGTGGCGGATATAGGCTTCTTCGCGCGATTTCTGTATCGACAGTGCCGTCTTCGCGTTCTGAGCTCTGTTCTAAAGATCGTGATCTCCTGTTGTGGCTATAGATCGATCGAAGAGCCACACGAAGTCGCTTGGCTAAGCCCTGCGCAAGGACCACGGGGGCGAAGGGAGGGAAAGTTTTCAGTGAGAGTACCACGAAGTGCGGTAAATCGAAACGTCGAACCTCACCATGCGATCCGGCTCTGGAACCCTTTCCTGGTCGCGGCGTACACAATTCGTTTGTTCTTCCACTCGCTCACTTACTTACTTATTCGTTCAAGAAGTAACGAAGGGGTACCATATATCATAACCACTCAATCTTGGTCGAATGTGTCCCATTTTAACCAGTGAGCCATAGTGATCAGTTCGGAGAGATACTTATTCCACCGGAGTGAGATTTTTGTATGCGTGAGCCGGAGTCCGGAACCTGGGATCGCCGTTCCAGCTCTACTCGAATTTTACTTTTGGAGGTGACGATGCAGAAGTGAAGGCAATCGGAAACTCATACCGGTGCGAATTGGTAAGTTTGAGCATTTCGACTGGTGATTAGGACACTCATTCATGTGGCGCACGATTTCTGCAAGACTTGAGCTGTAACCCTCCATGGAGGTCCAGGGCCGAACACACTATCATTTTCTTTCATTCGAATCCCCAGATTTCGGCGTCGAACCCGTCCTCGCTGGTTTTTCTTTTGTTCACTCATTCTCTGTATCACGAATCGCGGGTGGATGAGAGGCCCTCAAGGGAGCGTGGCGAGATGTTCAAAATCGTGGAGCACTTCCGACGCGGAAGGATCGAAATGCATTTGAGAGGAATCATGAGCCCATCGGCTCACCATGACTGAAACGTTCCCTATTGGGAGATGCGGGCTCCGACTGGAGCTTCGAGCCTCGGTGATTAAAGATCACGGAGGTGCTACTCCCGTGTTCTCTGGATCGGAGGTCTCGGAGTCAAGTCAAGCTCCGCAATGCAGGCCGGAATCACGGCAGGCTCGTATCGGCATCCATAGGAATACAAGTTCCTTCGATCGAGGCCTTTACAGTTGAACGATGTCGCAATCCTTGTCGATAGGTACCGTTCTCAAGTCTCGGTCGGAGGAGAGAACCAGACGAGGGATCCAAATACAGCTCTTTTTGGAAAATCGGCCTGATAGAATCGGTTGTGATTGGACAACGCGGGGCTTCGATAAGGATTCTGGGCTATCGGGAGCGCTCGGAGGCGGAAACGATTGCGCCGAGGAACGGAAAACGAAACGTATTCCCACGAATGAGATCCGTTTTTCTCGCTCAGAACTTCTGCATAAACTTGTATGCCTCCGATAGCGGAACCTCTCCGGATCTGAATCTCCGCATTTCAGAATGACGCCTTCAGGAAAGATGCGAAAAAAATGTAATGGGGAAAACTCTTTGCTCAGCAGACGATTATTGCCAATCTCTGTTCGTACGCATCCCCGTAGCTCTCGCGGGGAGCAGTGTCTCAATCGGTGGGAGGAATTCGGCTTCAGGAAATAGTCCCGTTTTTCCCTTCGGGGAGCGAATCGCGAAGCCCAAGGTCGATAATCCAGTTCTGCGAACGTGACCGATCCGCCCAACGAATATGGATGCGGATCGAGAATCGAGTTCCAGCGTAATTTGACGCTCGAAATATTCGAATGCGGCAAAAATTTTCGTAGCTTGGTCAATTGCCCCCGATTCCAAAAGCCCACTGAGAGCGACACTGACGTGTTCAAAGACAGCCGAAGACCAGATGTCAAGTTGATGCTCAACATGAGGTTGCGATGCGATTGATTTGATGTCCAACTTCTCGGCTCGCTTCGTCCCTTTGTGTGCAGAAGCTGGTTGAAAGCGAAAACCGACTTGCTGTTCGCTCCAGAAAATCCGAAAAATCAGCCACAATACGTCCGTGAGCGACTAGCATAACGGATGCCGACCGAAGAAGCGTCCGGCAGGCGGCAAGGCAGCGAGCCGCACACGAATGACGGACTGACTGAAAGACGAAAAACTTCAAAAATCCTGTCACTAACTAATCTGATGAAACTTATGTGGAAGCTTCATATCGTCGAGGAGATAGACATCGATCACCATTCGAGCATTTCACAAGAGAAGTTCCTCACCGTACCATACCGGTACAAATCCTCCTTTCCGCTCCATCAATCTTCCTGGGCTAGAATTAATTGCTCGTGAGGGCCCTTTTGTTAGAGAGCTTATCCTTTTTTACGGCTCTTCGATCACCCACTTCTGCGGCCGCATGGAGAAAAACGTCGCGCGGCGCGATTCCGGTGCCGTACCGACGCTTCTGTTACGATTGCGTCACAAGGCAGGCCGAGATTCTCATCTATTATAACAACACGTTGTCTTCATAAATACTTCGTTCCGGCTCCGTCCTGACGACAGCGCGGAAGAAATCTATCAGTCGCCGCCGCGCTGCTGAAGTTGACAATACAGATCATGACATGCGAAGGGTTCGGCAATCATCAATGTTGGGACCACCACATGTCACTCGCAGAGACGCTGCGAACGCTGGGAGGTAAGGGTGGTATTATCATCAGTATTAAATTCTTCAACGGATGAATTTTGTGTCGGAGAGTTCGGATGGGGCCACTATTAAGAGGAAATTGCGTCACCGGTCAGCATTTGTCTCCAGTATGCTTTGTCTCCCGCCTGAATCTGTTTCATCACCCGAACCGTCAGCTGGACGTTCGGTTCACATGCAGCGTCATCCGCGAAACGCAGCTCAGGATCCCGCGTCCTCCTGCGCTACTCATAACGAGAGCGAATCTTCTTCCTCACACGTAGCTCGCTTACTGAACGATCGGATCTCACTTGAATTGGTTTTCAATTGATTCCGATGCCGCGTGCCGCCGCTTCGAATCGAATTATCGCGGATTCGATAAGGCATCGCTCTGGCGATCCTCCGATGAACGCGCCGATCATTCGACTCACGAGTCTGTGTTTTCTGGTTTTATTTCTCAAGACTCCCTTCCGCAGTCGGCAGTCGGTCCTGCAATTTGAGCGGAGCGTTTAGCGGCTAGCGGTTCAATCGTGCATGAGAGAGAAAAGCCGCTCGCGGTGTAACAGCGAGAGGGCTCTCATTCCACCACTGAGTGCGGGAGCCAGCTCTCAAAAAATCGAGTCACCTACACCGGGGCGAATCGAGTTGCTGTTTTTCCCGTTTGCTCCTTCTCCGGCTGCCAGAATGTCGCGTATTGGACTGGAGCGCGGATCGTAGAAGATAAGAAAGTCCGAAATCCGAAAGTTATCGGGAGGTGTGACTCCTTCTAATTAAGAGGTTTTCTCCGTCAATTTCTGAGACGCCAAGGACCAGCTCGCGGCTGCAGATCAATCTCGCGAGAATCATAACGACTTGGATGAACGTGAACGAATAAATAATGATCGACGGAACAAATGCAGCACGCTTGACCGTTCTTCTCAAGTGCGCTTCTTACGGGTCATCTCCGGCTGCGAAAAGCTTGATTGATGATCGATGGAATCCGAGAAGGAGGATACGCAAGCCCCGATGCTCGAACATGGCTAAGATGTCGTCCTTGTTCATCCCTATTAGGGATGAAATTGGACATTGCTGTCATCAAGGTCTTGTTTCAGCGGCGGCTGTTACTTTCTCGGCAACGCATCGACTCGAAATTTGATCGACTTGCCGTGCTTGTCAGCCTCGTCCGTGGTCGAAATTGCTTCACCGTTTGTTGACAGCAGAGCTCTTCCTCGCCCCTCTCGCCGCATGGTGGGGTCGAGTCGAAAATTGCGAAACATGCAACATTTCCCCGCCGTGCAGAGGGGGAAAGTTTCGATCTCCAGGACAGACCTTCATATTTAATAACGAGCCTCACGAAGTATGCCGGCTTTGCTTCCCTCAATCACTGCCCACCATACTGGGCCTGTTCGAAAGATTCCCACTGCGTAACTGAGGCTATTTCCTCTCTATGCTCTGCCCTGTTCGCCACGCTGATGGCACCGACGCCCTTCGCAACCGAGATCAGAATTGAATATGGTTCAGACATCGTTCCTCCGGCCATTCACGGTTTCCGACATCTCGTGCTCGCTACCGGCACCAATCCTGTTATCTTGCGACATCAGCATTCTCTGTGCAACGCATTACGTGCCGATGGGCCGATCTCCGCATTTCCTTTATTCCCTGGTCTGCTCATGTCGATTAAAATCCTCTGGAATCTCTTGCGGAGACCTAGGATGACGTCCTCTGGTTGACTGACGCTCCATCGGACCCGCGAACCTCCGTTGATTTTGGTCCCTGTAACATCAAGGCAGCCTTCACTGTCGGTAGCCTGCTAACTTTCCTTCCACACCGTGAATACTACGCTAGAACCCCAGGTCCGCACATCCGGATCGTCCTATCCGCTGGGGGATACAGACACTTCTTTCGGGGAGACGAACTCTGACTTGTCATCCTCCTCCTACAGGTTCGCTTTCCAGACCTGCATAGCCTCTGATGAAAGGGTTCGATGCCAGGGATTTTGTTCGCAGGGCGCCGTTGGAATTTATCCAGTGACGATCTCCCGATTCCCGCGCTTATAGAGAGCCTGCTCAGGACCGCATGGTAAGCTTCGAGAGAGGCCGATTCCTAAAACTTTCAGAACTTGGAAAAAGCCAGACGATGCACCCGCTTCCCGATTGCGTGACTTCGTTGACGCATCCCCTCCGGAGGCAAAGCAAGCCCCCCCCCCCCAAACAGATCTCGCGAAGCCCTTCCCTCAGGAGGACTTTTCCGCATTCCTGCCGGAGCTGCGGTTGTCCCATGCGCCGACGTCGGTCGCCTCGACGTTCCCACAGAAGTAGTGACACGACGCTACAAGAGGAGTCCCAAGGCAGAATATCTCGCAACAATCTTTAACAGCGGGCCTGTGCGATGCTTGGATCACGGAAGAAGCCGTATTCTGGACACGCACTTGGGTATCTCCAGCTTTATAGAGTTCTGAGCAAAATATTCACGACCGTGCGCGATGTACTCACCGCGAGAAGCAGCCGAGAATGATTGTTTTAGATTCAGCGAGATGATGCAAATATCTCGTCGTGCAGCGTACGGAAGTGCCAACCCGCTGTGCTGGATCAGTACTGAGGATCGCAGTACTATCACTAGCTAACGAACCTGAAGTTCCGACAGATCTCCCATCTTCTCGCTCTCATCTGAGAGACTTTGCGAGGGCAAATAGAGAATGCCCTGCGGGTAAATCCTGACAAGACGCCGCTCTGATCTCTAGACTGAGGCAGGTTTCTGAGAGTTAGACCTCGCCTAATAGTAACGGTAATGTTCGCAGGTTGATCGTGGCGTGCGTATCCTGCTTTACAGTGCCACTGACGTTTGATTCCCGATGCGCGGTCCGATGCCGTCTCCTCTTCGGTTACCTAGTCGGTTTGCTGCTGCTTCAAGTAAGTCAATCAATTCTATTAATCTGGATGTGTTCTGAGAACTGCAATCGGCGACGGGGTATATAATGCGAGTAATTAATCTGTGGTATGTACTATTTATGTTCGCAGATTGCCACGCTGACCATAAATGCCTTGATTACCCATCGATCGATGCAGGGTACAGTTCTGCGGGAGCGCCCGCGGGAAGGGGTCACTCGGCTCATCTCGATCCGGGCTGCTCTTTTCATCCCAGAGATAGGTACGTACGGCGTCCCGCCATCTCGATTAGCGAATTCATGATATTTCATTGAAAAAGTTTAGGATGTAAAAAAATCATGGAAGAATTCGTTGATTCCTCGGAGTTATCAGTTTTAGATAATGGCGCACCTATTCAAGGTTGGCATCTAACCGGAGCTGTATGGTCTGGGATCTTGCGTGTGGACGAAATTCCCCCGGTCTGCGTCGTTCATCCCCTCTACCGTTCGGCGCAAAGTATGGTTTATTTGGGGCTGGCTATGACAGTTTTGATCCTCCTCGGAGTATATTCTGTGTTCGATCCAGCCGGCTCTATAAAACATTTTCCATCGAACGAGAATATCGACGACGAATTCGGCAGATTGTTCATTATTCCCACCGAGAAAGGACGGCAAAAACTCCATCGGAGTTGGCTCCGGCGGTGAGTTCCCGTGGCTCGTGATGAGTTTCCGACTTTTCAAGCCTCCTCTTCGACTGAGTCCCGAAATAGCATCGAGCATTAGTAATTTCATTTCAGAATCCAGCTTCTGTTCTGCTGCGTCTCATTCGACACAGGGTCCCGAGACGCGTACCAGGATGTTGCGGAGCTTTTCAGTGGCTGGTTCAACGACATTGACGTAGTGCCAAGCGATCTCCTCTGTGCGCTCGTTCTTCTCCGCAAGAAACAGAACAGGCTGAGGAAGGTCACCGGTAAGTTGTGCGATCTGTTGCTGAGTGAGCTCTGCTGCGTTTTGCGGCTCCGTGAAGGGCTTGAGCGCAAAAATCAATTGTCTCGTTCAAGGTCACACTGCTGGCGGCCAGAAGTACCCGCTGACTGCTTATCACAACCGTTCGATTCCGATCACCATCCAGCCTACGATGCTGCCTCCTGTTGACTGGATGACTCCCGAGAACGCTCTGCATTTCATGAGGTCGGAATTTTCGCCGAAAATAAAAACGCGATCTCTGGATACAGTTCGATCGGGATCGTATCGTATGCACGCCTGAGGTTCGAAGTTTTTCCCCGTAGGTTCGCTTGGGGTTCATATGGCTGGCCGGCCTTCATGCTGACGCATCTCTGCACGGGACTCTGTATAATTTGGAAAGGATTGAGATGCTTCTCGTGCTTTAGATCCCCCCTGGGGTTGCGCATGCGGGGAGACAACTGTTGCGAGTGTCATACGGCGACCGTGAGGACCTTGGCGAAGGTCTCCAAGCAAGATATTTTGATGATCTCATTCAAAGACTCCTTGTACAAGGTGGGCCCTGTTTTGAGAGGGACTCATTAACTTACGATTCATTCAATGCCAGCGATACGGGGAGGGAGCTCGTTTCACTCCGAGCTCTGAGGGCAACTGGCGGAACCGAGCTAGACTGGACCGAATTTTCGGATCGAAGTGACTCGGTGGTTTCCGCTTCACTCTTCCAGATACCGTTTTTTGTTTGTTACGATCACAGTACACGCTCAGTCCTGCTTGTGGTCAGAGGTACTTTGAGCGTAAATGATATTCTCACTGATTTCACCGGTGATTCCACCCGTATCGGAGTCAGAGGAGTTCCTCCTGACTCGAGGTGCCACAAAGGAATACTCAAGTGTGCCAAATACATCATGGAGCAGTGAGTTGACGACAATTCCTGATGAGTACTCTGAAAACTTCGCATAAACACAATTCGATTTCCGTCTTTCGAAACCTGATGTGAGACTCGGTTTTCCAGACTTTCGGAGAATTGCATTCTCGAACAAGCTTTCAAAAGGAATCCGACGTATAGACTGGTCCTAGCTGGTGAGTCGGAGAGACTGCCCCGGGGGAGAACAGCAAGTCGTAAGAGCGCGTCCCATGCTCGCGCCTAGGTCCCCTGACCTTGACGCTCTGCCTCGAGCTGATCACGTGCTCGAATTAAAAGATGAATAACCCTCGTTCCAGGGCATTCACTGGGAGCCGGGGTCGCGGCAACGCTTGGGATACTCTTGCGCGACAAGTTCCCGGAACTCATCGTTTTCTCTTTTTCCCCTCCTGGTACATTTCCCCTCGAGTCATGCTCTGGATGGCCGATGAGAGCCATCTTAAAGGCGGGGAAGACCTCTGATCCGAGTTCCACCGTCTCTCCATATTTGAATCGAAAGAATTTTCCCACATTACGGGGAGAGGATCAAGCTTGAGCCCGGGCGAATATCCCCTGAGTCCCCATCTGCGCTTTTCCAGGCGGGACGTTCAGCCGTGAGCTTTGCCGGTACACAGAATCATTCGTGTTCAGCGTCATCGTAGGAGACGACGTTGTGCCGCGATTGGGTCTCGCGCAACTTGACGAACTCAAAAAACAGATGCTGATATGTTTGATGGAGGCGGATCGGCCGAAGCACGAAATCATCATCGGGGTAGGAAATTTCCTCGCAGCCGTTCGGTAGCTCGGGTTTCACTCTCTGGCTCACCTCGGAGGACCATAAATCTCAAACGGCCGGAATTTCAGGGTCTGAACTCATTTTTCTTCAATTCGAGAAGTCGGAGGAACACCCCCCGCATGAGCGGCTCGCCGACGGCAAAGTACGAGGAGAAACAAAAGAAGAAATTCGAGGCAATCATCAGGAAACTCGATGTCATATCGAAGAAGAATAATGAAAGAACATCGTCGAGTTCTTATTACGGCCCACATCCTACTCCACAAGTACGTACGACGCTCCATCGACAGATCGTAAATTCTGATTATTATATTTGATCCCAATCAAAGACCGCTGCAGCGGTTGGACATAGAGGGAGGATCACGTTCGCCCATGTTGCTAGGATTCATTGCAGAACACGAACAACTTGTGTCTCACGACGGTAGTGAATGTTGGAGTTGGCAGTCTTTCCAAGCACAAGCTCTACCCGCCGGGGAGGATATTGTATCTGACAGAAGCCGACGAAGGGTAATGCCACTTCCACACCTATTTCGATACGTAATCAGAATATCGACGACGAATTCGGCAGATTGTTCATTATTCCCACCGAGAAAGGACGGCAGAATAATAATCAGAATATTGATACGATCTCGCTCTCGGCGTGCGGGTAAAAATTAACGCGGTGAAAAAATATTCCTGGTTCTTCTAGCTTTGAGACTTGGTGGTCTCCACCAGAGTATTTCGACCATGTGATCATCTCGGCCCATATGCTAACGGATCACCTCCCTGACGTCACTTACCGAGCGCTGAAGACGGTGGTAGATCGGCGTGACGTGAGAGCTGACAGCTTTGAGCTAAAAGGCAACAGACGGCGGACAGACGTTTAGTCGATATTAGCCCCGACGAGTCAACGTTGACATGTAACAAAAACCTTGTCGAATAAATTCATACAGGTACTTGAATGCGAGAGCTCTGCCCCCCGTCATTCTACCCTTTCAATGAAGAGAGGGTCTTTTTTCCGGAGCGGGATAGTCCATTTCGTTCAGTGTTTTCTTCTGGACGCGAACAGACGGCGATACTTCGCTCTCTCGTGACGGCCCAGCGGATCAGACTTGCTTAACCGTCTCATGGGAAGTGCAACTCGAACGAGGGTCTCAGGAGGTAGAAGCTGGTCCTCGGCCGCACTCAACAAGCTTCGACCGGGAGGAAAAATCGTTTTGCAGTTTATCTAATTCCCGAATATGAAAAATAGATGCTGTGAGCAGCGATCGGGCTAGGCCATCAATCCCGCATGATAGAGCCGACGTGGGAGATAGGAAGCATAAACAAGAGTATTTTAGTAAGTTCTCTCAGAACAGACAGGCTATTTGTAGAACAGCACCGGTCATGAGGTTCCCGGCCGCTCGAATTGAAGCTACTGAGCTTTCTCGACATACTGCATTCACTATACGGGCTGACTGACTGACTGACAAACAAACGAAGGAACGAGGCAGCCGCGTGGGGAAGGGAGGACTCCGCCGAACATGAGGATGTAGTGAGCATATAATCCGTACGTTTCGGTCGAGCTCCAGGTCTCCCCCAGCAGAGCTTGGACCTCAGCCGGTGCGCTGGCGGGCTGCTTGGCTTGGTGGTAAGCTCGTGAGACGGCAAATTGGCTTCAGCTGTGCATTGCGTCCGACGGCATTCGCAGTTACTCGCGACGGAGACACCAGTACAATTCCAAGTCGGCCCTGATCGGAACCCCCTCCGCTTTCCGCGGCCGTCTGAGTCGCCGGTTGGCTTCCGAGAGTGTGCCTCGGTCGCTGAGGCCTCGGAAAGCGAGGGGCCCTACGAAAACCCCAGGACGCTCTCTCGTCTTCCTCAAATCGAAGGGAATTCGCACAGCCACCTCTGACGGGGCCTGGATGGGAGGTCGTTCCTGGGAGATGAACGAATCTTTGCTTTCCCTCAGACGGAGTCAGCGACCCGGAGTTCGAGCTATGCTCTCGGATTGCGGCCCCTACTCTCTCGTCGCAGCCTCTCCCCCTCAGAGCTCTTACCCATACCGGTGACCTTCTTTCCCTCAAACAGACATCTCGGCCATCTTACCAACACCACCCCTACCACAAGCGAGCTACGAAAAATAAAACCTGCCTAGAAAACCTCTCGACGTGTCTCCTACAATCCAGATAGCTGCACCGTAGTGTGTTGTGATTGTGTTTGTGTTCGGGCGTTAGACTCTTCGTTCTGTTCTGACGATCTCGCGACTTTTACGCGCAGAGGCAGACCAGCTCTCCTCCGAAACCATGGAACAGGATAGCATTGACGAAGAGCTACTCTAGAAAGACTGCTGTTTAAGGGTAAGTTCCATGTCTTTCAGTGCGGTACGGTGCCTGATTGTCTCGGGCAGGATTTCGGGAACGCTCCCGAGATCTTCGAGACGAAAGACGGCGTGGGGGTTCAGGCGAACGGAAATTCCCTTTCCTGACACTACTGGACGGCATGAGAACGTGGAGTAAGTGCTCGAGCTCGCCGGAAACCGACTCCAGAAACGGAGTCTCCGCAGATGCCGATCTTGAATTCGATGTGAACCGGTGGGGAGAGCATAGTGACTGGGAAGGAATTTACTCGAGTTCGGAGGACGAAAAAAAACCGAGAAACACGGTTGCCAGTCGCGATGAGATGCTGCTATGGATGTTTGCGAGCATCTCTGAGAGCATCCTTCGGTTTCTCAGCTGCCCGAGTCGGATTACATGTTGCGTTCGCTGGAACCTCTTTTCCGAAGAATTTCGGAAGCCTCCGAATGTTCCGTGGCCCCCGAGCCCCGGGCCATCGTCTGGCTTCACGACGCGGATGCCGTACCACAGAGTGGATCGATGAGAAGAATCACGTGGGTGTTAGGCTGGAGCGCCGGGAACCCTTCGGATGGTGCGGAAACCTGTCTCCGCGCGAGGTTGATCCGCTCGTTGCGTGGCAGCCAGGTCCCTCGGAGCAATTATCTGCTTTCCAGTACAGCAGCCGATTTTCCTTCAATTCAATGAGGATGATTCGAATGGCTGAGCGAACAAATGAGTGAATTTATGTCAGCGGGGAAAAACGGGCTGAATCCGATTTGCATCCGATGAAGCTCGATGAAAGCAGCGCGGCTTGTCACTGTTGGTCTGGGCGAAACCGATTATTAACATTAAGTGAATTCAGTAACAACACACACTGAAAGCTATCGAGGCATGACGCTCTCGGCGAGGAAGAGTGTCTTCTCCGTTTGATAATGATCCCGGACATGCGAACGGGTTCGAAAGGCTTCGTGCTATGCATTCCAAGCAACGACCTTCAGAATCAAGAAAGCTGGACTCCTCTTCATTCAGGGACGGATCCGCCCGCATCGGGGCGACAGGAAAGCAAACAAGCTCGCTCCCACAGAAATTCACGTCACAACTTCAGTCTGATACGGTTAGATGAATTCGTTCCGTGCCGGAGTCCTTCTCCCTCCCTTGAATAAATGAGTGGAGAGATCGGTTCTGTGTTAAGTCGAGTGCCACGCATCAGATTGATCGAAATCGGAATTGGTTTTCCTCGATTGCGTCCCCGAATCCGGCGTGAGGGGAAAAGCCCACGACTTGCCAAAGAATCTGCTCCCGTAGATCGTTGTGATGACTTGTTGTCAACGCCGCCGCGCCGTACATCAGAGAGTCACTTTCAGACAAGGCCCGCCTTTCGCCTCGATCTTCCGGAATAATTTTTGCACATCGAACTCCGGCTCGCTATCTGTGACGCTTCCCCATTCGACAATCAGGGTCTGGTCCATTGCTGGATGAGAGTGCGACGCGATCATTTAGCGACTGCCATGCAATGACCGGGCTTCTTGCTTAACCAACCGCCCTCTGTGACAACGCGTAGTTCGAATCGCCTCCGAGTCAGACTAGAGGGTGAATGAACGACCGAGAGTCTTGCGAACCGTTTCTGCGCATTCAACATAACACCGGCCCACTACCTATAAGTCACGGCGATCTGCCCACAACGAGGGTACGGGGCGGTGCTCGCTGCGCGGGTTTCCATGCCTAAATGGATATTAGGCGTAATATGCGGAGAACCTCACATCGCAGATGCGAGCTCGGAGATCCGAGACGAATGCCGACCGACCGAAATCACCAATTCGAGGTCGCTCCTACAGACGAGCAACAAGCCCGAGAGCCGTCCTTCAAGATGATCCGCTCTCGTGTCCGTAAAATCCTTTCTCTCAAGATCGGGAGCATGGCAACGTGTTCTTCAGCTGAGTCCATCCGTCTGCCCGAGAATCATTGGGAGACCTCGCGCAGAATTGACAGCAAACCTAACGAAATTGCCGAGTCCCGCCTCCGCAGTCGAGCCCGACTCCGGCTGCTGAACGGCCTTCTCGATTTTGACATCAAGCAGACACATCGACGGAGAGGATGGAAACTCTCCCGCTCTTTCATTAAGAATGAGAAGCCCTACGCAGCCCGGAGGGACTCGGCGTTTGCCGTTGTCCCATGACGGCCCCGGCGTGGACGCTTTCCTTATGCCGATGTCTCAGTTCATTGTAATTCACTCAGAAGGGAATTAGATCCTCGGCGCAAGCAGCGATTACCACTAAGAGAACTCGATGAATACTCGTCGCATCCGGCGGCACGCTCCGACCATAAGTATTCACACGGCACGTCGTCGGCCGCCGATCTGCACAGAGAGCACGGGATACCCGCAGCGTTTATTTATCTTGCTCTGAAGAGTCAATCGCACCATAAAATAAGCGCCGTCACTGAGAAACGTAAAGCTAACCATAAAACGTTCCTATCGGTGCTTCTAGCTTCGGCTGCTCACTCGTACCCTTCTCGCCGACAAAACAGCCGACTGCGAGATTTGATTTATGTGAGTCCCTCTGCGCAATGTCCAGCTGGCTTCATAGGTTGCTAAGAGCTGAAAAGATTCAACTCCCCGGCGAGCTCAGGTTTCTACAGCTTCTCGGTTTCTCGCGTCCGCAGCGCGGTGTCGTGTTGCAAGCAGCTGTAGAGCAATTTCCAATTTCGAGACTAGGAAACAGTAGACGGAAGAGCGACTCCTGAGCTCCGGGGACCGTTGTTTCTCTGCGCGCTGAAAAAGGTTTGGATTGAGTTTCTTCTGCTCCAGCTCGTCATTGATGTATCGCGTAAATCGACGGTCCGCGTATTCATCCCCTGTCGTTAGGTCTTCGACGGCTCTCCATGACGATTTCAACCCTGCTGTCCATCGGTACCATGGTGTATCGTATGACCCGATTTTGTTCGTGGCCGTCCCCTCGTAGACAAGGAATGTTTCCCGACGTCGATGGTCAACTCTGGAAATTATGCGATTCCGCGAAGGGTCACGGGGAATAAGGACTTTGACAAACGTCGTGGTTTGATAAGTGTAGTTTTGTCGAGGGTGAAGACAGAGCTCATTCTGAGGTCGGATAGCTTCTAAGAACTAGCTAATCCGGCTTCTGAGTATTGTAGCTTAGCGGGAAAGAGCTCTCAGCAATAAATGTCAACAGCATTCGCTCTTGTTCCTTCTGCACGATTTGTTTCCGAATTGGTCATGACTCGCTCGAGAGCTTCTCTTCACACGATCCGGGATGAGCTTCCAATCCGGTGGACTGAGTGATTCCTGTCCTGTTCGGTCTCAGGTTCAGGGGAGACAGCGAAAACTTTGGAGCATAGGGAAGTAGATTCGATCGTCCTCATTTGGAGTTTGAGTGTGGCTCGACTGAGATGATCGTCCCACTCGAATGCTCCGATCGATGTATTTAATTCATGCATCGAGAATGAGAGCGAACTTGCTGAGGGATTCCAGCGGATCGGACGACGATGTTGGAGGATCCGAAGAGATTTTATTCTATCTCACAACGGACATCTCGGGACAGAGACGAGCGCGAATCTCACATTCGAATGAAACAGCTTGCCCGCGGAAACGTCCTCAATCAGGATTCTCCGCAGAAGCTATATGTATGCCTGA